TTAGTGAGTAGGTCAAATAAAATAATTAATAGAAAATATCCTTATGACAGCTATTTCAAACCAAAATGAATCTAATTTCTACAGATTGGAGCAGACATTTGTGGTTTCTTTGAAAACACAACAGAAGAGCTCTGTCTTAGGTGGATGCAACTTGGAGCCTTCTACACCTTCAGTAGAAATCACAATACAAAAGGGCCAATGGTTTGTTTTCATTGAGTTTTCGAGACACTCAAGTTACTCTGTATTGCAAAATACTTTAAATGTAATCTAAAACAGATATTATTTCTAAAAAGGAAATAACATTTTAAAATATCTCTTGAATGTTTACCAATTATATCTAAATGGTCAGTATTATAATATTTATCGTTTTTTATTCTATCCTGCACCACCTTTTCTCTAAATCCAAAAATAAAATCTTTATGTAAAACTTAAATCAAATCATCTTAATTTTAAAAATTATTAATTGTTCATAGATATCTGAAATGAGGAAAGAGCTATTTATTTGAATTTGAATCTCGTTTTTAAAGCCCCAAGGTCCTGGCCAATTAGGTGATGCAGTGGGCAATGCCTCAAGGGAAATCATGCAAGTCCGTTATCAACTTCTCCCATATTTATACACCCTATTTTACGAGGCTCACACAAAAGGCTCAACAGTTATTCGGCCATTACATCATGAGTAAGATAAAATTTAATTCATTTCATTGCTCTTTAGCAGAAAAAGCTTACTTTATGCAAAAATTGAGTTGTTAACTCTTTGAATGATCATTATATTTAAATATTTGAAAAAAGCGATCAGATGGCTGATTTTGTAAGAAATAGAATAGTACAATTTGGTACAGGGTTTACATTTTAGTCAATATGTTTACAACCAAAGAAGCTGAAGGATATTAGACCCTCCTTCAGATGTGGGATAAAAAGGCTTGTTGTCTCAAAAGGGAATTAGGATAAGTCAAATGATAAGGGTAAAACCCTAAATGAACACTACAGTTAACGAAATCTAATTATAATTATAGCTTTATTTTTTTAATGTGTGAAATATTTTTAATGATATGGTAATACTTTCAAGGTTCAAAACAGGACATTGATGGGTCATAATTATTCAATTTAAAAAATTACTTTAACAATCAAGAGTTTCAAAATGTGATGAAATACAACCATGACTTTCAAGTAGGTCTAAAGTTTTTTTTATTGTTTTAAAAAAACAAATGCCCTTATTCTAAATTAATCTTGTAATTTTGGTGTATTGTAGATATTTTTAAAAACTTGTGAGATTCTAACACAAGGCCATATTATTTTGCAGATTTCCAAAGGATACTGTAGCACTGAATACAGAAACACAGTTTTTATGGGGAGCCTGTTTACTTATATCTCCAATTTTGAAACAAGTAGGTTAAATTGTACTAAATTTGGTTCAATATTTAAAATTAACTTAATCTTGATCTGATTATCATCTCCATAATTTAAACTCTTATGTATTGGGAAAAAAATGATAAACCATTGAGTAGATGTTTTTGCAGAAATGGCTACCGGTACCCTTAAAGATATATTATTATAAAATAAAAAATGATTGTTTTCCTGTCACTTCTTTGCCTTTAAAAAAAAACTGTGCCTGGTTCTTATCTTTTAACAGATTTGATTTTGAAATAATGCTTTGGATTTTCGTGATGTCATAAAAAAATTTCCATTTCAGGGTCAAACAGAATTGAAATACTACCTACCCCAAGGAAAGTGGTATGATTATTTTACGGTGAGTATAATTTTTATGAATCATTGAAAAGGCTAGCCTGTAGAGGTTTAAATGGTGTATATTGAAGAGTTTTGAGTAGAACTAAGATCTACTCTAATTTTTTGGTTGAGTTAAATCAATCGCAGAAAAAAAAAGGAATCAAATTCTTGTTTAAAAAAACTTTGTGTCAATCAGCTGCTTCTTTCAGCCTTTATAACTGCCACCGATACTGAACACAGTCATTGTTTCAGGTTAAAGAGAAACTTATTTAACATAATGAAGTATGGTAACTTTTTATGTCTCAGCATGCTGGAGAAGAGATTAGAAATGGTGCAAACAAATCTGTGGCAGTCAACCTGCAATCTAAACCAATGTTACATCTGAGAGGTGGCTGCATTATAGTTCAACAGGGCTATGCTAACAATACACATTACAGGTTGGTGATTTAAAAAAAAAAAATTAATGTTACAATGTGACGAAATGGATTTTAAAGAAAGTGTATTACGGTTAAGTTGTAAGAGCATACAGCTTCAATTCATATAAATGCTGTTAATCATTTTTTTTATTATTTGCAGTCGTCAAAAGCCTTTATCAATTATTGCTGCATTAGATGAGTCAAACAAAGCTGAAGGAATTTTCTTCTGGGATAATGGGGTCACAATAGGTGAGATAAAATGTGTCTCTTGGTTTCTGTCTGTAAATCAATTTTGCTTCTCTACAATCTAACATGCTTTCAAGCGCAACCTGCCTTTTTTAATTGCATTTCTATGGCTGGGTAAAGGCCTATATACCTTTTTGAGGATTTTGATGTTAGGATTCACAATGGCTTTTTCCATACATGATAAGCTTCAAAACACATTTTTTCTACTATAAATTTAGAAAAAATCATTGCAGCCTAATAGATGTGTAAATTTAATACATAAAATTCAGTTTAAAGTGTTTAATACCACATATTACATTCAACAGACTCTATTGGTAATGGCACATACTATCTAGCCAAACTGACAGTTGAGGCAGTAAGTAGCTATCATAAATATTTATAAAACTCATAAAATCGGTCATAAAATAAAATTTATGAGATCTATTGTGCAAATGAAAATTGCATGAATCAGAAATATTTCATTACATGCAAAGCTAATTTCAAAGTCATTATGATTCCACTAAAAAAAGGATCACTATTTTGATTTGCACATTTTAAACTTAAATAACACTGGATAAATTTAATCTAAATATTGAGCTTAGTCAACTCAGAATCCCTGAAATGTAATATATTGGGAAAATATACATTCATTCTAAATAATGCTTATTGAATTAAGAAAATCTGCAAGGAATTTCCTTAAAATAAAATGATTTTTAATTTTAACTAGAATTATATAACACCATGTCAAAAATGGAGATGTTTAATGTCATTTTGGTTTTCTATTTACAGCAAATGTTAAAGTTGTCTGTGATCAATAAAACAGTGACAGTTAACGACTGGGACAGTCTTAGTTTTAATCAAGTCCATGTCCTGGGTGTCAGCCAGATTGTAACGAATGTAACTCATGATGGGTCACCTTTACCGTTTACACTCAATAACCAGGTAGGTTGTATTTAAGTGATCAGAATAACAACATTAATAAAGGAAGATATGATGTAGATGTCCAATCTATTTATTACAGTCCGTTACTTAATACTTTCTTAATGATGAAACTGAGGTACTTTAACGATGTTGGTCTCAGCATAAAATACCATAGCCAAAGTGCTTAAGACCAAGTAAAACTAAATGTTTCTTTGTCTCTATTAAATTTTTTTTTTTTTTTTGTTGTTACTGTCCTTGAAAGCATTGTTTTTAAACAATAAAAAAATTTTTTTTTTTCTTTATTAAATTTTTTTTTTTTTTTTTTTTGTTGTGACTGACCTTGAAAGCATTGATTTAAAACACTACAAAAATTACTGCTACATAAAAACCAAACATGAATACATTTGTGAACTTAATATTTTTTCAGACTTTGACGATTACAGTCAATAAATCACTTCCAATGAGGGAAGACTTCACACTTACATGGACTACATAATATAAATATGCATTTCATCAAAATTCAAGTTTAGTCAGTCTGTCAATGTTTATTAATGAATGGTGTGCTTTAAGTTTTATTGTAGCAAAGAATGAAGGATTGAGTCTTTAAGAGATGGAAATTTTATTATAAATACTTTGTGATTCAAAAATGAAGCAAATTTGGTGTCACCAGGAATGTTCTTTCAACAAAAAATAAAATCAAACTTTTAGCTATTAATCTAAATGCTTTTAGTTATAACGCTAACTAAATTTAATTGATATCCACAGCTCTTTTTTTTTCGTGGTATTATTAATTACATTACATTATTTAAAGTGTGTATTTAGCAATAAAATTTTGAAAACTTCTAGAATGTTTCCCCCTTTTTATTCTCAAGGGAACATGCATACACTTTTAAAATAAATAACATTCCAACAAACTTGTTTCCTGATTAACATTTCACCTTTGGAACTATCGGTCACAATCCATTCACAATACGCCTTTAACACCATCACTAACTATCCTTCTAAATAACATTATCCATTAACATTATACCTTTGGTACTATCACTCACTATCCATTAACATTAAGAAAGTGTGTATAAGACTTCCTATTTCATTGCATCATGCTGAGGTGTTTTTGAAATGACTAAATACATCCATATAAACGATTATGCAAGCCAGAAGAACTTACAACCATTATCTTCTGCCTCACTACCAGATGGCAGAAGATTGCATTGTTGCTTTTTGTTTTAACAAAGTTATGGCAACAGCTTCATATTTTCTTGGACAGGGAGAAAGCTGGTGCAGCTATTTCCTTGTTTTTATTCATACAATTACTAAGAACTGAAAAGTAACATTAACCGCTGTGTCCTGCCATTGGTAGATTGATGTCTCTTCAATGGCACAACTTCCTGGCGCTGTTTAATTTATACTACTGTCATGTTAATCTTAACTGCATCTAACATTTTTTTGTGTTCAATCTGGATATTCAAAGAAAAGGGGATTAGATTTAAAACCAAGGGAAACAAATCCTGGTTAATCAGAAAATGTATGATGGTGAGGGACCATTTATCCAGAAGATTTGAAAACTAGAAACTACAGTATAAATGGCACCTAAGATAATGGGGGGGGGGGGGGGGGCGGGGGGGGGCGTATGTTTACAATCTTACTGAACTTAGTGTTTGGAATAACTGTTGTATAAACTGATTGATAAATTACCCTCATGGGGAAAATGGAAGTAAAAACTAATGTGAAGGTCAAATGTAAACGTTTTTAAATTTTAGTCATCCAATAAGTAAAATAAATGCTAGTAAGAGGCTTAATTGATGATTTATAACATATTGTGTGTCAAGGGACATCCATAAATAATGTCAGGCTAATTTGGTTGATTTCATAATTTCATACCACCATCCCAAAATCATTCCACAATTTAGACATATCCTCCCAAAGTCCCCTCCCCTCTTTTCCCCAGACGCATGATGTTACTTATGGATCTCCCCTTCGTTTGAACAGTAAAGGCTAAATTCACAAGATTTTATCTATGAATTTTCTTAATTTTTCTTGGAACCCAAAATTATAGAATTTTATTGATACATTTTTTAATCAAAAAGGTTTTTTTAAAAAGCATTCATTAGGTAATAGTATTATTAATACTTTCATAGAATAGACAAAAAACATTTGATACATCTTATACTCAATATTTTATTATCATCAACAACACAAAGCCGATACTCTTATGAAGTAATATTATTTTAAAATTATGAAATAAATTTCCCGCATTACAAAGTTGCATTTTAAGCTTTGTTGCCAGATAAATGGTCACACACCAAGTGCAAGACAATATAATATTTTCTTTTATAAATATTCTTCCACACAATATTATATACTGATGCTTTTCAATAATAATCTATTTGGTCATCTTAGCTGTTACAATTGTAAAATCATTCTGTTGATCCTTGTTTTCAATTTATTTGTGATTAAATTATGTGCATAAAAAACATATTCATGGTGATTCAAAACTTCTGTTAAATAAACAGGCATACTTTATTCTGTTGTTTAATAAAAATTATAAATGCTTCGATCTTTACTTTTGAGACTTGCACCAATTTATTACTTTTTTTTTTTAATTAAACAATCTTACTATGTTCATATTCCAAAGGGTAATGCAGTTAACTTGACAGTTCAAATTAAAAATAATCTAAGCATATGAAAAGCAATATAAACTGGAAACTATTGCTTTTTTTTTTTAAATACAATTTACCATTTAGGAAAATAATGAACTTTTACCCAAAAAATAAGAAGGTGCACTTTCAAAAGTCATTTACAATCCTACATGTGAAATTTCAATAAGAACCCAATGGTACAGAAAATCAACATAATTAAACTTAAAAAATTAATTTAGAAGGTGCACTGTAAAAAGTCATTTTTCAATCTTACACACGAAACTGCAATAAAAACTCCATGTATGTAACACTGGCACAGAAGATCAACAAATTTGTTTTTTGAAACAATTTGGTTTTTGGTTTAACAACAGTAACCACAGCTTTTAATCTTGATAGAACTCCAGCATTCAAACCATTTCAACACCTTGCTAAATAAAAAATGTCTTTATCATGCTCTTTTAGAGTCTTCCAGCACTTCCATTCTGTTTGAAGACAAATCCTTTTTGCATCATGGCAATTAATACATTGGCTATGTTCTGGCAATCATCTGAAACAAAATAAGGAAAAACTTTAGATTGGAAGATATTGTTACACTCTCACTAAATGGCAAATTTTACATTGACGTAAACTGGAAAACCAGTCGTGCTAACAACGGGTAATCACATCTGGAATGTCACTGACTAGAAAAGACAAGTAGAAGTATAAATTCAAACCTTGGGTCAATTTATTTAGCTTCAGGTATGCTCTCTCTCGTGTTACACTAAGAAAAAGTTGACATAGTTGCTGGAGAACAACTGCAACACTTTGGTGAACTCCATTATTAGTGAAAAGGGTAAAGAAGTGAGCAAGAACTGTGTCAAGGGTACAAGAATCACGGATGTTAAGCTGAACTGTTGTTACAGTGAGTTGTAGTTTAGTGTCTTAATGTGATTGGAGGACAGAAAAAGCGTTATAAACATGTGTGTGAATATAAGGTGTCAAATATAAAGTTGAGTCTTCGCTGCCTAGGATGGTGTTAGTCTAATGGATGGGTGTTGTGTAATATATTATACTTATATTATATATATGATATCTTGCCAGCGCCCCAGTACCAAGAATAAAGATGAACAGTATTATTTTATGAAGTATTGGTGCCTCTAGTGATTGGTGTGCTGCTGTGCTGTAGTTGAACCTATAGTTGTCATAAATACTTGAAGGGGTCTCAAACCAGAAAGTAGTATTTCGACAACCTGATTTTTTTTTACTCTGTTACAGCTGCTTTCAAAATGAAGCAGACAACAAAATATAACCTCTATAATTAAAAAATTATTTTTCTTTGAAGATTTATACCATTTGATGAAGCAGCTGGGAATTCTATAGTCTTACCTATACCACTATGATGACGACCCACATGTTTGATGTTCAAATCTCTTAACATGACCATCATGCCCTTGGGAAATGTGCCAGTCATCTCAGCATAAGACTGAAATGATTAAAAAGAAAATTAAAACATGTCACCGTTTTTTGTTTTTTTTACAATAAGATACACAAAATGGATAAAATATATTTTTTTCTCCAAATTTAAAACAATTTGCCCTTTACAAGAAGCATGGCTTTTTAAGAGGTATATTGCCTTTTAAATAGTTGATTTTAAAAATGGGTATTAACCTTCTTAATATTAATCCACTGCTTGAAATACTGTCTTGCCGCCAAATCCAAAACAGCGCATTGCTTAGGTAACCTGGATAGATGAATTATGTCCACAAAGATGTGTTTTATAATTTCTGTTACCTCTTAAAGAAGACTTTGAAAGAAATCTAATAATAAGACCAGAACTACTTATAAATCAGTTTATTCTTAACAGTGCCAGGAATGCAATCAGAAATTTGGCATTTTTTTAAATTGAAAATTACCCACCCTCTTCCAAAATGCTATTGCCATTGATGCAACAGAGTTAATTGGTTGTTGGATACTTGAGAATACTTCCTTTGAGCAGACATAATACAGATTAGAAAATGAAAAAAATTAAACATGCTAACGCTTAACGCAAACTGTGTACATACATAGATTTAAGATCCCAGTCACCACAAATCACAAAAATACTTTTGATGTCTGGGTCCAGCAAACCTTCACTCTCCATCCACTGGTGGAAGCTCTGTGGAAAAAGGAGTTGATTTCCTTAAATAATAGGTAACGAGTAAATGGAATGAGTCCTTTTATAAGCTTTTTTCCCCCCGCCTATACTTTTCAAAATTTTGAAATGGTAATTTAATGTCACATTGTAAGTTACAGACCCCAAACACCTCCAATTAGCTTTATCATTTTGGGTCTTCAGCAGGATCAAATTGTTACTCGGTGCTAAGCTAAAAAGTTTGACAGATGAAAGAATGAGTCTTCAGGAGGATTCCAAATTGTTACTCGGTGCTAAGCTAAAAAGTTTGACAGATGAAAGAATGAGTCTTCAGGAGGATTCCAAATTGTTACTCGGTGCTAAGCTAAAAAGTTTGACAGATGAAAGAATGAGTCTTCAGGAGGATTCCAAATTGTTACTCGGTGCTAAGTTAAAAAGTTTGACAGATGAAAGAATGAGTCTTCAGGAGGATTCCAAATTGTTACTCGGTGCTAAGCTAAAAAGTTTGACAGATGAAAGAATGAGTCTTCAGGAGGATTCCAAATTGTTACTCGGTGCTAAGTTAAAAAGTTTGACAGATGAAAGAATGAGTCTTCAGGAGGATTCCAAATTGTTACTCGGTGCTAAGCTAAAAAGTTTGACAGATGAAAGAATGAGTCTTCAGGAGGATTCCAAATTGTTACTCGGTGCTAAGTTAAAAAGTTTGACAGATGAAAGAATGAGTCTTCAGGAGGATTCCAAATTGTTACTCGGTGCTAAGCTAAAAAGTTTGACAGATGAAAGAATGAGTCTTCAGGAGGATTCCAAATTGTTACTCGGTGCTAAGCTAAAAAGTTTGACAGATGAAAGAATGAGTCTTCAGGAGGATTCCAAATTGTCACTCGGTGCTAAGCTAAAAAGTTTGACAGATGAAAGAATGAGTCTTCAGGAGGATTCCAAATTGTTACTCGGTGCTAAGCTAAAAAGTTTGACAGATGAAAGAATGAGTCATCAGGAGGATTCCAAATTGTTACTCAGTGCTAAGTTAATAAGTTTGACAGGTGAAAGAATGAGTCTTCAGGAGGATTCCAAATTGTTACTCGGTGCTAAGTTAATAAGTTTGACAGATGAAAGAATGAGTCTTCAGGAGGATTCCAAATTGTTACTCAGTGCTAAGTTAACAAGTTTGAGCCGTGCATATCCTAACATTGGTAGTTGTAGTTTGGTTTATCAAGGACTCATTAGATTTTATTTCTTTATGGTTATTGTAAATTTCCTGAAACATTTTTGATAATTTTTATTTTAAAATCCTCTTTAAGAAAATATTACGGCAAAAGTTTAAGGTATTACCTGTAAGGTCTCGGGAAGATGTTGCTGATTGTCCACCATGGACTGAATGATACCGGTAAGCTGTCAGACATAAACTTTTAATAACATAGTACCAAATGAAATGTTACATAGTATTTCAAATAAAAAATAAACTATAAACAATGGAAAAACATTTTGTCTAAAGAATATAAAACTTAGAATGTGAAAAATGGGATTCTTTGTTACATTTTTACTTTAGGTTGAGAACTGCAGAAACTTACCTCTGTGCAAAAGGGAGTTAATTGAGGATGATACTGTGGCAACACATATTTGTGGAAAACTGAGTCAATTTTTTTGGTTTTGGCATTGACTTTCAACACAGGAAATTCTATAATTTCCTGAAACATTAAATATCAACAAATAAAATAATAGTTAATTAGATATAAATCCAATTTGGGATTGTTTTAAAATGTCTTTGCTGCACTGGGTTTTATTTCATTGGTACTGGTATCTAATATAATTGGCAGTCACTGCCAATCAGCTTATAATTTTGCTGAAACTTGAAAAAAATTAGAATCTTGGTAAGAGGAGATCGGGCCGAAAATCGGTATAGTAATTTATTTTACTCTCAGTAAATCAGACTTTCTCTTTAAAGAAGTATCTTTGTATAGATGTTTACATTTCTATCATCTTGGGTTTTGAAGAATGCTTATCCTCTATATAATATACCCCCCCCCCCAACTTTTTGCTAAAAAAAAGAAATAAAAAGAAAATAATGATTATATTTATTTATAATTAGAAAATATATCCATGCTTCACTATGGGAGGGGGGGGGGGGAAGTGTTAACACAGAAAATCAGTGTGATTAATTTTTGGGCTGTGGAGCAATTTAAAGATTATTTTTAAAATTGGGAGGAAATTTAGTCTCTGAGACAGGAATTGCATTTTTTTGTTTGTTTTGTTTTTGTGTAGTTTTCTTTTAAGTGGGGATAAAAAAGGGAGGGTGTGTTGTCAGGACAATATTTAATTTAGACCATTGTTATTGCTTTTGATTTATTGCAAATGCAAATTTCTTTCACTTATTGTACGTTTTTCAATGTAAAACGATGAATTTCACAGTCTAAATAAATAGCTACCATTACAGTTTACTGACTTTAAATTTGTCACTGTTTAATTTTATTTATTATCACACAACAAACTCTATTGTATTTCTTGTATTTCCGCTCCCCCCCCTTTTTTTTTTTTTTTTCCCCCCCCCCCCCCCGACAGATAAACTTTGTTCCTCTCTTAATCTTGTCTCACTTTAGAGTGATATAATTACCTATATTATTGTTCCATTTGTTCAACATCGACACCTGTAAAATTTAAAATATACACACTATCAAAAAGAAAACAACAATATTTCTTTCTGTGTGCTTTTACTGGGTAGGGTAGTTGGTAGGGATAGTTTATGGATTGCCACAGGGTGTGAGGCCTACTGGAGCTGCATATTGTGAATTTTTAGGGTGTCCTTAACAGAATTCAATCCACCATCTGCATGGTCTTCCTCTGACCCTAACACCAGAGTGCCTGCTATTTACCGTTTAAAGAATTCAACAGAAGAATGCAACACAATAGTTACACTAAGTGAAAGATGAAAGGGTCTTCATCACTTGGTTTTGGTAATAGTAAACCTTATCTACTTGGTTTAAAAAGGATATATAAATATTCTTGATCGGTGCATGGTTCACAAAATTAAAATGCTGCATGTTCAAATGCTGTGCAAAAACAACTCTATTTAGAATTACAATGAACACCACATATAGTGTGTGTAGTGCTTTTTTTAAATAAAAGGGTGATGATACTGTCACTATGATTGGGGATTTGGGGGGGGGGGGGAGGAAAAAAATTAAGAGCCCTAATGTCTTTCTAGGGAAAGGGTGGGGAAAGGGGTGGGGGTAAGGGTGATGATACTGTCACTATGATTGGGGATTTGGGGGGGGGGGAAGCAAAAAATTAAGAGCCCTAATGTCTTTCTAGGGAAAGTGTGTGGAAAGGTGTGGGGGAAGTAACTGAATGAGATCCATCTAAAAATTTTTTGGGGTAATTCAAAATGCATGGTTATATTTTGGCACACACCTAAATTTAGTTTTTATTTTATTCACTCTACACTTAATAGGTGTGCAACAGAAGAGATGCTAGTAAAAATTAAGAAGTCCCTAAACCTTGTTCTTTTTATAAAATTTTTACTTTAACTTAAAATATTTTTGTAAACTACTTCAATAATAAATAGTTTTATCAATCCGGTCATCACCAAAACAACAAAAATGCCGCTGTTTGATGAGTAATGCTCTAGCTATAGTGATTTTAACAAAACTAGGTGACAAACCAGGGGTCTCAAACTCAAATCATCCGCAGGCCGCAGGAGGTAGAGTCTGAGTGAGACTGGGCCGCATCAAGTATTCCACACAAAAAAGCGATTACAAAGTCAATAAAGTACAACTGTTACAATCTGCTGAAACTTTATCAATAACACATAAAAACATTAAGGGTTCTCAAGAACTAGGCTTCACTTTCTTTCTCCTACTCCTTGTTGCCAGAGATTTGGCAGCATTTCTTCGTACACAGCTGAGCATCATTTGGCTTGAGTGAGGAAGCAACTGAGACCCTCAGTATAGCTTGATAATGCTCATCAGTAAGTTTGGCCCTGAAGTTTGACTTGTGTAAGTTCATAGTGGAAAAGAGCTTTTCACACAGATAGGTACTCCCAAAAAAGGCATGCGATCCGCTTGAACAACCTGGAAATCTCAGGGAAGGCGGAGGGCAATGCTCTTATCAATTATCCATGCTTGTCTGTTTTTCCAATCACCTCCTTGATTTTAGAATTGCAATGAAGATCAATCAGCTCCATTTGAAGCGCAAGTAAAGGGGGGTGTGGGGGTGGTGCATCTTCCAAATTGAAGAAGAAATGTTCAGCAAAAAGTTGAAAGTTGCTCTATCTGTTTTGAAGTCTTAAAAAATGTGATTAAATTCTTCCTGTAGCTTTGCAATAGAAGCAGTATACTTAATACTGAAGGGTGTGCCCGAGTCCATGAGTACTTTGCATGTTGGGTAATGCAGAGGTTTCTCAAAGAATCATAACACAAGTTTTGTGCAGAATGCCCTGACATTGTCATTGGCGACACTGACAAGCTACCCCTGGTCTTGTAACTTCTTGTTGAGTACATTCAGCTCCTGTATAATGTCAACAAGAAAATCAAAGTCCATGAGCCATTTGGGATCCCATAGTACAGGAAAAACCACCCCATCCTTCTCCATGAAGGCTTTGAAGGCTAAAACGTGTTCAAACAGTAGACAGGGGCAGGGAATATTTATGAATTATAGATGCAATGAAAGATGCTATTGTAGGAAGAATGAATTTTGATTTTTTCATTGAAGAAAAGACCTTTTTGACTAACCCTAATTTGAAAGTGACCAAGCTGACAGGCTCGGAATTTCTCTCACTCGTAAACACTAGGGGCAATTTTAATAGGGATTCTTTGATACTGTGTCAGGTTCCTACGATTTACAAAATTATGGTTGTGCATTACCAACTAACTGACTTTTTAAACTTTTCTCAAAACTGCACTTTGGCCATGTTTATCTCATAAAATAAAAACTTTTAGTCCGATTATTTACAACGGTTTTTATCATTATAAGCAACGTCCAAATCTATACAAACATAATAAAAATCAGAATTAGACTAGTCGGTGAGATTCTATTGAAACTTTCACGGAGGGTCACATTATAGATATGGGAATGGGGAAAACGTGTGGGCCGCATTAAAACTAAACTTTGCTGTCATGTAGCCGGCCGCACAATATCGTCTTGCGGGCCGCAAGTTTGAGATCCCTGCTTTAAACTCACTATTTTTTCTATATATTTCTTTGAACTGGATCTCACTTATTAGTCATGAGATATTAAGAACAAGCTCTATGAATTTGAAATTTTATATTGTGATTCCTCTTATTCTCTAAAAGATTAAATTAAAAGTTGATGTTTTTTAAACTTCAGCTTTTAATTGGACTAAAATGACCAAAGGCTGAAACATTGTTACTATTAATGATTTGTTTTGTGAGAGTGTTTTTGGCTTATGCTTTGGAATATTTGGCTTGTTTAGTGAACAGTTGAGAAACTTTCTTGATATATTTTTTATTTATGAAATTTTAAAAGCTTAGTGCTCCAAGAAAATGCAGTATTTTTAATGTCTAACCAAACAGTTAAGCAGTATGACCTTCCTTCACTTTCGGTCTAATGAACAGAATTAAGTCAATGGTAATCAGGAATTCCTAAGAGAACTTTCTCATGATATAGTTAAGCTTTCTGAATCAGTTCTTCAAAATGTTTTTTTAAAACTCAACGTTGAGCAAAGTCATGTCTATCACAATGCGGTTAATAGTGTTGGTTCAGATTCTTAATGGTTTTCATTCTTGACACTCCAGATGGCACAGGGAAAACATTTTTGATCTATCTAATCCTTGAGAGTGTAAGAAAAGAAAATGTTATTTCATTAGCTTCCTTTTTAGTAGTAGCAACTTTGTTGGATGGTGGAAAGACAGCTCACTCTGCCTTCCAAATGCCTCTCAACTTAAAATCACTCTGGGACATGTATGTGCAACATTGCAAGTGTAATACAGCTCAGGTACTTTGGGGGTGCAAGTTGATTGTTTGGGATGAGTTTACCATGGCTGACATTGGGGGAATAGAAGCATTGGACAGAACTCTTCATGATGTCTGGAAGAAGTAAGTGCCTTATGTCATCCCACCAATGGCCTAAAGTCTGAGACTAATCCTTGTGAGTCAACAAAAGGCTTCATCTCAGAAGTGATTTAAAGGCAGAGCAGTTCTCAAACTTCCTTCTCCAAATAAGGCATGAGATTTTAGAGGGAGATGATGGCAAGAGATATACTCTGGGTAATCTCTGTGAAATCTAAGCTTACCTAAATCTAAATTCTAGGGGTTATGGTGTTGGATACAAGGTGTTTTTACCAAATAATCTGATAGTTGTTTAACCTAGAACTCATGGCTATAAATATCTATTACAGAAAAATATTTTTTTTTAATTCCTAGCGAATCAAATTGACTCCTTTACTGCAATTTAGATTAACAAAGAAAATGACTATGTTTTAAGATGCTATAATTTTTCATATAACTTATTTAAATTCTCATATAACTTATTTAACTTTCAATCTTTCAAACATAATTATAATTGACAAGCAAGAGTATTCAGCTAGAGTAACATTATAGTGAACTTCTGAAAGTTTACAAAGTCAAAATAACTTTTAACTATGAAAAATAAGACACGTATCAAAGTTCTAACAAAGATATTTTACTATTACCCTAGACTTGGAACTTGACTTGTAAATCAATGAGATAAAAATAAAACTCTCACATGTATGATTATTTACCTGTGGGTTTGGTTGTGCTTTATCATCACATGTAGCCTCAAAGTCAAGCACAAGAAAAAAATCATAAATCTGCTCTTTGCTGTGACTGTTACTGCTGCTTGTAAAATCCAATTTTGCAGTAGCGCTCATTCTTAAGAATAATTCTTGTTTTGTATATTGTAATAGTTTGGTTTTATTAATATTGCAAATGCTGTAATTTTTTCTTTCCTGCCTAAAAGTAAATTTAGAAGAAGAATCTTTGCTGAAAACCAAGTCCAAGTCTACTGCATGAGACTGAGAGTAGTGATGCCGATGGTGACAAGTGCTTAAACTTAAGTAACGACTAAGCCTTTCTTGTTGCAGAGATTTAATCAATTGTAGACGTCCTCTTTCAAACAAATCTAATTTATTTGCTTTAGAACATGAACTAAAATATTTGAAATTAAAATGTGTAGGAGTGAGCCTACAATTTACTAGAATTTTCCTCCGGTCACAACAAATAGCTTTTGAATTAAACTTCATAAAGTCATTTAGCAAAAGCCTTGCACATTTGACATGAAAAAATAACTCGGCGTTCATCTGAAAATTATTTATAGTAGTTACGATCTATGTAAAAAATATAAATAAATGCTCTATTATTGATTGAACGCAACTATATCCAGCAACACAGTCACACAGCAGGGTCAAAGGCAACTTTCGTTTTCATCCGAAAAGAAGTCTTCATTCATAAAAATCAAGAGAAGTAAATCAAATTTTTAATGCATCATTCGCTATTTAAATATATTATTAAAATAAAGTGTTTCTTCACTATTTAAAAAAATCTACTCCGACATTGACAGTGAAGGATATCTGCTTATTATCTAAAAAGATGGCTTATATTTAAATCGTATCTATCTATTCTATTTAAATTTAGACTCACAGACTCACCTGGTCTAATTTACTAATACTAATAGTAATAGCCGAACTTTAAATTTAATAAAGTAAGTCAATTATAAAATGACAATAAGACAAACATATTTGCCTCTTTTTTTGCTAGCTCAGCCTAGGCGTAATGAAACCGAACTTTTTAATTTATTATTAATAGCAATTTTTAAATATCAATATCTAGAAGTACTCCTTTTTGAAGTTTGTTTATTTTTGCTCTGTTTTTCACCCATGCCCATGTTTTGTAATCGTCAATTATTATTTAAAATTTTAAGCCATTGTCTTGTCAATAAGTTTCTTATTTAATTTGTATTCTAATTACTAATAGCAATTAAAACTTAAATGATAAATACAATGTTTTCTCTGTAATGCATATATTTGTAATCCAATGACAAAGTATCATAATATAATGTTTTGTTCTACAGTGACAGAAAGTATCTTTAGACTTAGAGATGTACTTAGTTAAGTTAGAGGGTCTGGACATAATACTAATACATATGTCATATGTATCATTGTCATGTCAGATATTCCTATTTTAACACAGTTAGGTTAAGGTAATCTATTTCCTTTTGCAATGTGGACTAGAGATTTTTTTGTTATATCATTAAGAATTAGTCGTAATTGTGAAAGCTCATGATTAGATAAATTTGTAAAACAACTTTGCTGTAAAAACTAGCCATTAGTTAGCCTATATGTTTTAGCAATAAAGTGTTTTTAAAATTAAAGTAATAAAACACTTTTGTAGCCTCTGAGAAACAATAATTAAATGTAACTTTACATTGCCTTAACAAACCCTAAATCATAGCCAAATTAATTATAGAAGGAAATAAGTGAAATAATCTAATAATTTATCCTACCGTATTCTTTTTGTTTATCACACCACCTGAATCTCTCATAAATGATTTGAAAAAAATAATGAATAACGGACTGTAAATTAAACAAATTTAAAGTCAATATGGTAATCATCTATATTATTTTATTTTTGAAATTGATGGCATTCAATGATTTACTTCACCCAAAATATTTAATTCTTTGGATGGATAACTATGTCACACAAAAAAAAAAAATGTATTTACATAGTTATCAAAATAATGGTCTTTTCTTAGCAGAGCAATCTTCATTTACCAGCTCTGAAAATGTATATGACCCAAAGTGCAGATACTTAAACTACTTGTAGTGTTTGTTGCAGTGTATCAAATGGGAAAACTATATTAAGTATGGTGGCAAATATAGAATATATTGCAATCAAGAGACATTCTTATTTACTTACTTACTTCAATAACAAATAACATTTCCAATAACTATTTAATTACAATCCCCATAAAACTTGTATCATGTATCATGACTAAAGAAAACAGAAGTTAAGGAAAAAAATAATTTGTCAAAATCAACATAAAAAATTACTGTGATACCAAACTCTAATATATATAGCACAAGAAAAAAGTATCTTCGATTACAAAATTTACTAACAAATCAATCACTATTAAATGTACAAAGACATATATTTTTACAATACTTCTAAGCACACAAAAAGCATGGTGTATTATGTTACTTTTTAAATGTACAAAATGGGAAAATTAAAAAAAAAAGTCATTAAAAATTTAAACAGGTTTTTTTTTGTGGACAATCCATTTAGATCAAGTCTTCAAAAACTGTAGACATCAGTGATACAATTCAAAGTTCCTGGCTATATAAAAGGAAACATTTAAAGGACAGTTTTAGTGAATTATACAACTCATTAATCATTTTAAAAATTAATGACAATGAATAAACAAATTTACATCATCGGTATAATGCTTGATTGCTAACAAATGCAAATGATACTTCAATCCTAAAATATTGCTTACTTGTTTTCTTGACCACAGATACCAAAGGTTTGATTTTACTCATGTTATTTTTCTAACATGACTTACAAGTACAAATTTATTAATGATCAATTAATGTACATGAAACCATCTAAGAAAACACAAAGTAATCCATGATTCATAAAATGCAGTGAAAAAAATAATGCCTGAATCTACCAACCAAAATTTTAATTGATATTTATTTGTACTAAAAATAAATTCCAGGCTAGGGGAAAAAGTAATTTTAACGAAATATATAGAAATATTTTTAATTGATTGGGGATGTTTAAGAATTGGGTTGACTGCTTTCTTTTCATACTGAAAAATAGTGAATTTAGCAGCCACTAGTGATGAAACCCTATCCTTGAGAAACCTTAACAGTTCTATTAAAATAATGACCAAAAACTCATAATCAGTTTCAAAGTAAAGAAAAATATTGCCTTTTTTAAAACTAAAATGCTTGTAAAAATTCTATGACCTGATTTTTAAAAAGATTTTGTTTATATTAATATACAAGAGTTAAGACTAGAAAATAATATTTCATAGGAGATTCAATTATGTTTATGTGCATTTTGTCATTGCGATTTTATTTGCATGAGAAAGAAAAAAAATCCTCTTTTCTTTTAATAATAATATTTTAAATTTTAGATAACTGTTTATACTAATTATTTTCATTTATAGATAACTATTTGCTGGCAATATTATATTTAAGCAATTGTACATAAAATTACCATAAATATGACTACTTTACTGAGCAATCCAAACGAGTAACACTTTTACAACGCAAGAAATTATCACAATGGGCATTAGTGATGATACTCCCAAATCGGAAGAAAGTAATTAAATCTAATTACATGCTTAGAACTGTAACATTCTAAATATTTTATTTTTAAATGCATAATTCATGGCAAATTAATCTCACCCATAATTTATTAATTTATTTCAAGACATAACAGATCCAAGTCAGTCAAAAAATAATCAATGAATCAAAAGGAAATTAAAAAAGATGAATTTGCCTATAGTATTTTAAATTTTAAAAACTGTAGTAGTTATCATAATCAAATAAATCTAGTTTCTTTTCAAGTCAATCTAATAATTATTACCATTTGATGATAAGATAATATGCTACTCATTTGTTGCTTCTGCACTGTATGTAAATTACTCCAGCTTACATCTTATAGATAAAATAAAATTGTTTAAACTTCCAACTTGTTTTGAAAGGATTGTTTTAAATTCTTTTTTTGAAAATAAAAAACAACTAATATTCTATCAATCACCTCTGATCAATGGCACTATTTAGAAATGTATGTACAGGGAACATTCATAACACATTTGTCTATTGATAAATTTGACTGAACCATAAGTTTATTTTTTAAATTTAGTTACTGGTAAAAAAAGGTATTTTATGTAAAAGGAATATTACTTGCGATAAAGATTTTCTTTACCTTATTTTAGAGTAAAAATATCTGTGTAAGGCTCAACAATTAAAAAAATTATGGACATTTTCTTCCCATTTAGACAGTTTTTATGGTGAAGATAAGTTTTGAAAGACTTTTAAGATGTGGTGTAACTTATTTTTACATTGAAAATATGTATACATATTTGAAACAGTATTAACTTTGATCTACAAATAATAACAGAATATTCCATCTCAGTTAAAAGAAATATTCTCCAATTTGCAATTAAAGTTATTATATTTACATTATTATTAGTGTTCCATTTTAAAAAACATTGAAATGCTTTTTTCCACAAAAAAATATTTAGAGATTCCTGAGAAAATACATTTACCATCACAGACCTAACTTTCAAGATGTACAATCACATATTCAAGAGAAAAAATATATATACATTAAAAAAGCCGAGAAAGTATAAAGGTGAACACAAAATTTGTTTAGTTGTTATTCAATTTACTGGTTATCATAATTATAACAGTGACAAGTAAATTTTTTGGCCAAATATAATAATGCTGAGATAAACCAACCATGCAAGCTGTCAAACATCTTAAAAGAAAAAAAAAAAGAAAAGGTAGAAAAAAATTATTTGTCAATTAACTTAGAAATAAAGAGTAAAAACAATAGCTTAAATTTAAAAAAAAATAAAAGTAATTAATATTCATAAATACAAACATTGTCTAATTTATTTTATTTAAAAGAAAAGATAATGGTTAGACAGAGATGAAAAAATGTATTCAATCCATTAATAATAACTAAAACAAATGACTGTTGGATGCTGCATTACATCAAGTTTCTACAACAACTTTATTAAGCTGCTCATTTTTAATAGTGATCAAGAAGAAACAAAGATTGTACATAATTATCTGTAATACAAAATAAAGGCTTTCAATGTGCTGGGAATGGGCAGTGTGTGTACTTTTTCTTTCAGATAGGAGGAAAAATCTGGACCCCTTGGTGAGTGTTCATGGGTGTCTTTCTCCTCTTCAGAATCAGAGATACCACCTTGTGATTTTTTGTTGATATTTCTGACATCACTTTCTTGGCTGTCATCATCATCATCATCCATGTCCATCCAGCCTGCATCTGTGCTATCATCACCATCATTGGCAGTTCTGTCATTATCTAAACTTGATTCCCCTTTGGATGAAGTGGACCATGGTGATCCCTTGTTGCCAATGTTTGGTACTGGGGAAGATGGTGCAACGTCTGTTGACATTGTCTCAAGATCCTCCTTGAATGATCCTACACCCGAATGTTGGGACCCAACAGGAAGTGCATCATCCCCAAGGGATCCAAATCCAGATGTCTCTGAGGTGTCAGCACTTGTACTGTAAGATGTTGTAATGGCTCGTGGTTGTGAAGGTGACCCTGTGGATGAGGTCACCAGAATAGCTGGAGATTGTGTATTGAATTTGGGGACTAAAACTTCATCATCTGAAGATAGTGATATGCTTCGCTTGCTGAACAAAGGTCTGGGGTGTGCAGATGACAAATGATCATCTCTTTCTTGCCCACTTATAATGACAGCTTGGTCTATTTCATGGGAGTTTTGAGAAGAAAACTGTTTGGTCCTGCAAGAGTGTTCCCTATCAGATGTATTTTTCTGACGTTTGATCCCACTGACACTGGGAGACATCTTTCCTTTCATCTCAGTTTTTTCTACATCAAATTTATCATCAGCCATTGCCCAGTCTTCCCTCTCCAAAGATTCAAATTCATTTTCTTTAACAACTTGACTCGTTTCAGCTGCATTTTTGTTACCATTGATGTCATTAGATTCTGTTGTTCCTTCAACACCTAGACCTTCTTCAATTTCTGACAGATTAGAATCCACATCAAGTACCTCATGTCTTGTTACTTGTTTAGTTTTATGTACATTATCATGTCTTCTGGCTAGCACTCTGGCCCTGTACTCGGCAGCATGTTGCTGCAGTTGCCTATGCATGTACTCATCCTCATGGGTGGCCCCCATTACAGGTTCCTCTTCATCGTCGTCATAATCACTCTGGTCAAAAGCTCCCATAATCATGAGACCCCCAGTGGTGGGCACTATGTTGAGAGGGTATCTGCGCATCTCAGAATGTAAAATGGTAGATGACCCCATAAATTTTTTTCTGCTGGGATGTGATGTGTCACTCATTTCTTGTAATTGGAAGTCAAATGTGTTTCTAATGGCTTCCCGAATGACAATGCGACATAAGTACTGCAAAGTCAAGGGAGAAACTTCAGCTGTAAAAATTTAAGAAGAGTCCAAAATGTGCAGCTGGTACAAAACAAGTTAATTGAATCTAATGAAACAATGCCTAGTAATGAATGGAGTTAAATAATGCAGAATCATTAAAAGAGAACACATGAATTGTAAAAACTAGAATCAATGTATCTTAATTTAGAATAAGGGAAGAGTTTAAGAGAAATAAATTGTTACTTAGTATTTTATCTAATTACATTTTGTTAACCTGCAGTTGAGTATCATAAAGAAATAATTGAAAGAGATAAAAATTAATTTAACATAGAATCAAACATTTATGTCATCAGCAATAAAAATGTTATGGTTTATGTGCCTCTAAGTAGCTTAAAATATTACTTACCAAGAAGAATAGGATTTGCATTCTTTTGGGCAGGTCCTGGTTGAACAAGGGAGGCAAATGAGACAGGCAGAATGTTGTCTGATGTAAACTCTGTTTGGCTTATCCTTTTAATCTTCAACAGCTAAATTTTTCAAAAAAAAGGGTATAAAAATTTAATATATAATTATAATTTTGAAAAAGAGATCTTGGGAACTCAAATTGTAATAAACCCAATATTACCTTTCACCAGTAACGGTAAGGGGTACCTGGTTTCTGACATTTGATTTGAGGAATTTAAATCAAACAACTGATACCACATTCCTATAAAATTTGCTATTATAACATATCTTACTCAGACATGCTTCAGACTTCTGAGCACTCCATAAATATTGTCTTATGATTGTTACATATTATGCATTCCCTGTAAATCTAATGACACTATGCAACAAAGAACCTGTAAGTAGTGTAAGCAAATTAAGTGCCATTCAGTAATAAAAATAATGTTACTAAAAATTACTACTGCTAAAAAGAGGATGTGAATAATGAAAGTTCCCAAAAATTTTCAAACAAAAGTAGGGTTGCCAGGTCTGCTTCTAAAAATTAGCAGACAAGCGCCCGGGGGGTGGGGGGGAGAGGGTTTTGGGTTGGGGGGGGGGGGGGTTTAAGTAGTATTAAAAAATATGAAAAATGTTTACAATTAAAACAGCTTTAGATTATGTACCATTTAATCATAAAGCTTTTGAATAAAAAAAATGTCCACTATTTTGTGAAAAAAAATAGTGAACATAATGTGAAAAAAAATGTGTCCACTAAAAAAGTTGTTTTTTCTTCAGAAATTATGAATTCATAGACAAACTTATGAATACTATCATAAACAGAAATAATCAAAATAAAATCACAAACCTGATCGCCCACTGGTATCACTAGTATTCCATTGACCTTGATCATGTTCTGAAAAGTGTCTTTTAGTTCTGGGGGACAAGCTGCTCCACAATAGACCCTGTCATATAAGCGGTTTTCAGGGGCCAGATTCAAACAATTTCCAACAACAAATTGAGGCTCACAAAGTTCGAGGTCATCAAATTTTTTAGCAATTTTAATGAAGCTCTCCAATCTCTCCATAGCAAAATTTACATTATCAGAATGAAGTTCAATTCCATGATTAATACCGAAGGGACCTTGAATGAAAATGTAATTTAAAAGAAATTAAACCAGGTAAATTAAGACTAATAACATGCTAAAATGGAGTTCCACTAAGTTTAAACAAATATTTTTCTGTGTCCACTGAGTTTTCTGAAAGTGATCTTCTATTATACAAAAAATTAATTTTTTTTATGTTGACTTTTTAAGGACTAATCAAATTGGATTGATCATTGCAGAGGTTTAGTTATAAACAAGTCAGTGTGCATATCAATGAAGTTAATAATGAATTCTACATGCCTATCATAAGTCCAACCATAGTGTTAAGATAGCCTGTGCCACTGCCTAGATTTAGAAAAGACAATCCTTTTCTCAATTCTAAAGCTTCCATAACTTCTGAATAAATGCATGGTGCAGACAGATGTAATGTGCCATTCTTCCAAGCCAGATCCTTGTAAGCATTTTCTCTGCATTCTTTTAAATAGTAGTGAGCCCGATCAACAATGCGAAACACACGTTCCACTTCTTGAGTTTTTATATATTCAGCTTCTTTAAGGTTGTCAATAAGCTCGTCATTGTCTTGCCCTGAGCTGACAGCACCTCCCATTTTATTGAAATATCAATTAGAGAATATCTATTCCCACTTTAAGTCTGAAAACAAAAACATTATTAAAATTTAATGTTGCAACAGTCAGAGATAGATACCACACATCCATAAAAATTTTCTTTTATAGGAAGCCCTAAATTATAAGTAGGCCCTTAGATCTAATAATGAATAATGTTAGTGTTGACTATCACTTTCAATCAGCATGTCATCCCCCCACCTTTTTTTTCCCTAATAAATGAAATATTAATTACAATTATACAGCCAAAAAAATAATAAATTTAAATCAATGACAATGTAATACTGTTGTTAACTAAAATATTAGGAAAGCAGAGGACACACATTATTTCATTACTGACATTAGCATATTCATTAAGTAAAAATACCGCTTATAACTTACAATGCATAGTATATCATGGAATGTATAGATCAGATCATCGATAAATTATTTTTTGTTCTATGCTCAGAATGAATGTAAACTAATAAAGATTTAAGTCAGTTAAATTTAAGTGGGCTACTAAGTAGCCTACTTGACCAACAGCGCCTGTTTAGACTTAGAGTGAGTGAGAAAGTAGGCCTATACTATACTTATACCGCAAATCTTGAAAGACTTGGACTTGATTGTCTTGAACTTGAATATGCAAAGCTCTTTCTTAACTGTAACTCTTTCCTTTTTTTTTTTTTTTTTAAAATAAATCTACACACATCCATAAATTTTAGGTAAGTCTATTCTTAGTTTACATTTTGGTAATTAGTATATTAGCTATATTATAGCTGCTTAGTCTTAGACCTAGGCAATCAAATTGAATTCTTTGAAAGACTTGGACTTGATTGTCTTGAACTTGAATATGCAAAGCTCTTTCTTAACTGTAACTCTTTCCTTTTTTTTTTTTTTTAAAATAAATCTACACACATCCATAAATTTCAGGTAAGTCTATTCTTAGTTTACAGTTTGGTAATTAGTATATTAGCTATATTATAGCTGCTTAGACTTAGACCTAGGCAATCAAATTGAATTCTTAAACTTAAATTCTTTAAATTTAAATGACATAATATTCATATTATTATTATTAAATGAATGGCGTATGTCTAAATAATAATAATTTCCTAATTGTAAAACGCCATTGCGCTGATACATAAATTAAGTAGGCTAGGCCTAAGTGCCCTAAGGGGCTAAGGCAAAGCAAATAATATATTTTATACTTATGCCACATATAATAAAGAAAGAAGATTCTTCTGCAACGGAATATCCAGCCAGTCAGTGTCAGTCAGTACTTGCCAGTTCAGTAGGCTCAGTGGCAAACTTAAAAAGCACTAATAATAATGTTGCTTGTGAGCATTCAATGCCTGACAAATGTTTCCAAGCATAATCAGTCCGTACCGAACTCAAAATAAACTAAGTTTCTAAATTCGTAATATTTTGCTTGAAGATAAACAGAAATCTCTTGGCAGTGAAAACTGGTTGAGGCAAAACCAAAACAACAACATAGCCTACAAAATGACGTCATCAATTAACATAACCTTGAAGAATAAATGTATTTCGATATATTTTTTATAATATTTCATACTTTTATGTTGTATCATAGCATATTTTAGCGATCGAATTATTTTAAATAGAATAATTAAATGATCTTTAACTTTCCGTATCAGCTCAACTGATGTAACAGCAAATGAACAAGACGATGGGTAGATATTCTTTTAATGACTTCACTCCCCCCGTTAGTGTTTCGTAGAGTAGTTTTCAGGTCTCCTAATTCGATGTTGGTATGGATAAAATAATATTTTTTCTTGGAAAATCGACAAATAATTACTTGAAAGAAAGTTCATATGATGTATTATCTTTTGTTTGTAACTTTTTCTAAGAGGAGGTATCAGAAATATTTCAGAGATTTAGTTTAATTACAAAAATTGCGCATGCTGTAAAGCCCAGTAAAGGGGAAGTTGTTTTTTTTTCCCCAATAATTCTTGTTACGCGTTATCAATGAAAGCCCGACCGGAGCCGGGGGTGCGTGGAATACAACCTCAAAAATTGATTGTGTTTAGTTTGATATATTTTTAATAACTTATTGAAATTGAGAGTATTTTTTTTGCTGTTTGTTTAACAGTTAACAAACATAACATGTTTGTTTTCTTATTCTTCTAATCGTCATTAAATTAGATGGGTGTCGTCAAGACCCTCAGATGTCGCAAAAATCCGAAAAATGAAAACGAGGCAGAGATCAACAATGTTCCGCGTTTTTTTCAAGGTCCTGCTTCTTATTCAATTGTATTGCCAATAAATTAAATTACAGAATTTGAGCTTTCAAATAAAATAATTAAAAAAAACTATAGTTCTTAAATGATATGATGATATCAGCTTTTTTTGTTTGCATACCCTCCTAAATTTTCCCCATACATTTCATTATATTTATGTTCAAAATGACAAACCAAAACAAAATTTTAACTAACAAATTCAAATCAAAATTCAAGCCTAATTAAAATTAATACTGCTTTATAATAATAGAATTACATAATCATAAGTAATACATTTGATGAAAATGAGACAAACGAATTCAATAAAGTAAAGTAAATGTAATCAATCCAATGCAATGTCACTGAACTGAATAGGCCTATGTAAAAAAAAAAAAATATTAAATTTAGAAGATTTAAAAGTAAAAGAATTAAAGTCTGAAGTAAAATTGAAGTTTGAATGAATTTTTAAAAAATAATTATTGATTGATAAATTTTAATTAAAAAAAAACAAAGAAATGTTAGTTAGTAAAATCTAAAACTATAGTCTATAGAGTATAGAAAGAAAAAATTGTGTCATCATTGGCCTTTTGAATAATTGAATTGGAAATTTGTTCTAAGTTTATAATATTATTATAATTATACAGACAGAATATTATAAACTTAAATAATATTATTATTATAGTTATAGTCCTCCAGCCAACCCTTTAATTCCCTTTTTTAATATCCTAAGATAAATTTTAGTCTCCTGCTGCATTTGCTTCTAAAATTATTATTTTAATTATTTAAAACTTTAAATTTAAATATGCAAACTAAAAGTCAAAGTGTTTGTTTTTTTAAAAATTGTTTATGCTGTTCAATCAGTCATATTTTTATTTACACAGTGGGTACAATTTACAATCCTTACCATGTCCATGTAGGCATGTAAATGCTGAATAGGAAACTATGTCGTCTATGTCTAGGCCCTAATTATAATTATTATAACAATTATATAATCATAGGTCTACTACTTATACTTATACTATCTGTATACTTATTAAGCAAGGGCAAGACCTATCCACTACAAAGGTATTAATCTTTACCAGGACGATTTTCCTAAAGTTAGTTAATAAGTTACAATTATGGAATTGATAAATGGCTCTGATCTATAAAGCCCTAAATAACAGTATTAAATTATAATTTATGTCCAGTGATTTCTTGTAATTAGTTAATCCTTAGTTAAAATTGTTCCTGAAATTTCCATATTTAAATATCAATTATAAGTATGTTAAATTGAAAATTTACACATCAGGCCTCTTTAGTCTTTAGTTTTACAAGTAGGCCTACAAGATAAACATATTAATATTTGCACACACAAAATTATGATAAAAATCACCCAGAGATGAATCTTGACTTTAATTTAGAAACTTAGAAAAAGTGATGTGATGCAAATAAATACAACTAATCAGATTAGGATCCTTTTCTATTTCACCTATAAAAAATATTTAAGGAATATTTGAAACCAAAGTTTTAAAAAAATACAAAAAGTTTTAAAGCTTAAAAATGATTTATTTTTTCCCACAAATGAAGGCATGTGGTTATTTTGTTATGTATTTTAAGCTTCCAATTTATTAATTTCACATAGCTTAAATAGCTTAAACACAGTCTGCACTATATTGTCCTATTAATAAATTTAACCTACATCCAGATAGAACCAAATCTTAAATTCTTTGTCATTTATTTTTTAATGAGCCCCATGAATTTGAATTGTATTCTATATATAGTTGTAAATTTTTTTGACTTTGTGTGTCCATTTGCTTTTATAGCAATTTGTTTTTTAATTCAGAGAATGTCAATACCACTAATATCAAAAAAGCTATAAATATTTACTTGGATGAGAGAAATGTCAGACTTTGATAAAGATGGAACTAGTTTGGATCAAGGAGCTACACCTATGGATCTCTCTGTACCTGCTCAATCAAGTGGACAATCCAACTTAAATCTCCATCTGTCTGTATCGCCATCAACTGCTGTCAGTCAGATTGGTATCAATTCATCCCCTAACTCTGTAGCTGGTTACCAACTCCGTCCTCAACTCAACTTAACCGCTTTTGGGTTCCAACTTCCAATTGCAAATGGAGCTGTTGCACTTCCTGTGCCTGGGGGGTCATCATCCCAGGTACACAATGATTTAGCTTCACTATGGACACATGGACTTCTAGATATTGTTATAAAAATTTATGCAAGAGTTATCCTTATTTTAACTTAAAATTTAAATTTAACAAAACTGTTATGATTGCCAACATAGTTACATATACATATTTTTGTTGAGCTTCAATCTTTATAATCTAAATAATGATAAAATTCTTTATCGTTATAACTAAACAAGCTTATAAAGTATGTTTTGGATTTAGATTATCTAATAAATGAAATGTTACTCTTCACAAACTTTTTTTTTGTATAATTACATTTATTTAAAAAATTATTTCCTGATTTATGTATTTTTAATCTCACAGCCAGCTAATATGGTTCCTCAAAGCATTCAAGTGGCTAGAGGAGGCATACCACTTGTTGGCACAGGCATAGGATCAGGACAGCTGACCTTCCACCCAAGGGTACAGCCACATCCAGCATTTCCCCAGACAATACCAATGGCTACAGCAATGCAACTAACTCTTCAGCGTTTGCCAACAAAAGGTTAATTTCCTAATTGGGTTGAAACTTTTTTTTACTGATTGTGACTTTTAACTTAGTTTATCTAACTGTTTATTTTAGAGGCCTGTCTGTTACTTTTGTCAGTGGAAAAAAGTATATTCATACTTAATGTTATTGTCAGCTTAAAGAGTGAATGTGGAAAATAAATAAATAACACAACCACATTCATAATTTCCTGCATTGATTTTTTTCTCAGTTTCTTATCTGCTCAATTATTTCCAAGCTGATAGAGTGTGCCTTGGTTTTGGCAAAATGAAAATGCAGAAATAATTATTTTTACAGGTCCACAAATAGCTGTTCAAAGAATCCCTACAAACTCTGTGGTCCCTTTATCAAACCACCAGATTCAGAAATCACCCAGCCCAGGAAAAGGATCCCATAGACAAAACATGGGCCACTCAAAGCATATAGTAACTCAGAATCAACAAGCTTCATCTTTAAATGTATCCAATAACCAACAGTTAGGGCATAGAATTCATAATGGTCAACAGATTCAAAGGGCTGTCACTCCTTTAGTTTCTCAACAAATATCTGGAGCCACTCAGCCAAACTTTATTCAGTGCTTACCAAACCCGGGGCTAGTAACCCAGAACTCATCAGGTAATGGACACTTGCAGTTACAGTCAAGTCAGACTGCAGGAGGCAGCCTTCGTGCATCATCACCTATGGGGACTGCTACCATTGTTGGATCTCCTCAAATCAGCACTGCCACCATCTTGGCTGGACAACATATCTCAATACAACCCCGGCCCTCTGTGGCAACTTTTATCTCTAGTGCTCCTACAGGGTTAACATTAACTGTCACCTCCATTGCCCCTAGCCCTGTTACCCTGCAGACATCAACTTCATCGAATTCATCCCAGATCTTATCTTTAACTCAGAACCAACATACTCAGCAGCTCTTAAGACCTGTGTCTGGCATTTCTCAAGCCCAGGCACTGCGTGCTGGAATCCCTGTAGTTCTTCCAAGAGGGCCTTCTTCTGCAAGACAACTTCCTAAAAGTCAACCTTATTCTCGAATAGCCCAGAAACCTGTAGTGTCAACGCTCAGCGGCAGTGGAGGACAGGTGATGATGACAATCCCTCCATTAGTTGGTTCTGTTATCAAAGGACAAATTGTGGTAAGTCTCTGGTAATAACTCACAACCTTATTGAGGATATTTTAGTTTCTTTTTTTTTTGAAAACTTTGGAACAGTTTATGCAATCTGTCTTGCACTTTAAATACGATTCCCAATAGCTGCTTGTTCCCGGTTTGTCTCTGTTGAAAGATAACTTTCAGTAATAATCCATTTCAATTTGGAACGCCCTTCCTGTTGATTTCAGAAACAATCAGACACTGGAGTCCTTTAAAACCGATTTAAAGACACATCTATTTCGCAAACACCTTCTGGGATGATTGTCAACCTTATTTTCCAGTTAATGCATAATGGCTGTGTTGCTTATGGTTGAAATGGCTAGAAAGACTTTGCCATTGTATGCTTGTAATTAGTTTTTGTAGAGTTGCGTTTGTTTTAAATGTGGTAAATTATAGGTTTTTTGTTATTTTTGTTGTTGACTTTGTACCGCGCTTCGAGCCTTTGGGGATGAAGCGTGTTTTTGAAATGAACTTTATTATTATTAATTACATCTATCCGACAATAAGACAATTTTCTTCTTATCTACTGTGGGGCCAGCAATTTTCATCACTGCAACATACTATCGCACTGGTTTATATGTGCATAACAATTTTTGATTTAAATGAATAAAAACCAAGTCAAAAATAAAGATCTGTGGACACTCATAACCAGTTGAGGGTGCATGGTTAAAATCCTAGATTGAAATTATATAATCCAAATCAGCAATAAAAAATTTTAAAAAGATAAGTTCCTTTCCAAAAAGCACATTTTTAAAAACTTTGAGTGGTGTTTTGCAAAACTAACAATTAGTTCTAGTCTGTTGCAAGATAAAAAAGGTTGAAAAAAAACCTTCTCTAGTCTAATAAAAATTTACTCTATGCTGATTCTTGAAAAAGTCAGTGCTTTATTTTAAATATCATTAAAAAAAATGACAAGTTACTTGATAAAGTATATAATCTCATAGTTAATCCACATGTTTTTCTGTGTAATTCACATCACCAGGAATGTTAAAATCCTTATAAAGATTGAGAAAAGAAAATTTTCTGCAAAAAAAATTTGCTAACTGCAACCTGTTTAATACTGTATCTAAGTGATGTTACAAAATGAAAACTGCTTTCTTATGACTAGACTGCTCAACCTCAGAGCCCCATGAAAGACATTAACAGTCAGACAGCTGTGACAGGCCATTCAGCTGCAGGGATAGTGGCCACAACTGTACTGACCACTACAGTCAACAGCGTGACAACAAGTGTCACATCCTCTGTGTCAGCTCCCATATCAACCGTGGCTGTCACTGCATCCAATTCATCTGAAAATGTAAATGGCTTTCTTTTTTTTCTTTTTTAAATTAACATTTAGGCTTACCAACAACACTGTTGTCTTTAATCAGACATTTATTTATCTCCCCCTGCATAATTCCCAACTTTTTTTTACCTTTCTTTTCTAATTCTCTGTACATCTCCAATATTTCATTGCTTACCTTATTACTAGAGAAGCTTTAGGGTGCCATTAGGTCAATATATTCTCAATTTTTTAAAACAACAATCTTTGAATCTTTTGTTGTATGCTTTCATCACCATGCTAGATATTTTATCAGATAGTCTGATTAATTTTGATACTATTTTATAATAATTTGTTCACTCTTAATATCAGCGTTTATATTTATAGTTCACCATGCCTTATAACAATAATTAATTTAATGGGTAAAAGAGTTTTTTATTAGACTAGTTTAAATTAAGTAAAATTCCATTGTTAGGTTGTTTTTTAAGATGCAATAGAAAATATGTTGGTTGTCAACTTTTTATAAGAAAGTGTATAAAGATTTATTATATTTTAACAACATTTTACTCAATAAATCATTAAACAGCCATCTGATTTTCAGAGTTCAGAAGAAGTTGTTAAGCCTACCGTTAGAATGCATCCAGTGCCTGTAACACCTGACAATAAAAACAACCCCACTGACACTGTCCCTAGCATACAGCATACAGCTGCTCTCACTACTTCAGTAGCATTCAAGGAGCAGCAGTCTGAAATTACGAATGACAAACAATGCCCTAATAGTGTGACTAATAGTGACAGTTCTGTTGTAGAAAAGACTGAGTCAGGATTAGATTTGGTAACTGCAAATTCAAACCAAATTGACATGGTTTCTGCTGTTGATCATCAGGTGATTATTTCTTAGTAATAGTATTAAAAATAATTTTACACTGCTAGACATATGGATAGAAAAAAGGTGGTTAGCTGGGAGATCATTTTGTGTGGCTATTGTGTGTGAATATTTTTGTTAATAATGGACAGTGAATAGAAATTGATTTTTATCGAATAAATATATTTATTTGCCAAAAATTGTTACTGGATGGAATATATGTAAAATGTATGATGAAAAGTGTAATAAAAAATCTTTTTTTAGAAAAAAAAATTAATAGAAATGTCATAAGTGCTTTGGATAAAACATTGATGTGTTATTTTAAAAATTCATTCAATTGGAAATAAATTAGATATTTATTACAATTTCAGATATCTGAAGTAACATCCGGGTCATTAAAAAATGAAGCTCGACCCATTTCATTATGTGATACTCTTCAGACTTCATTAGCTACTAATATAGGTAATGAAGTATCATCTCTTGCCTGTTCCTCAACAAGTAATGGATCAGAGTCAGTTTTGTCAACAGATGTCATTGCACTGCACAGCTCTAATGATGAAATTAAAGAGCATGTCATAACTGAGTCCAAAGAGAGTAAGCTTAAGCTTATGCCATTAACTCTTTTGTCTTTTTTTACATGATTTTATTTAGCTTGTGATTTTTTTGTCTGGATCAAGTCTTGCATCTTAATTTTGACCCACTTCCTCAAGTCCAACTAAGCTAAAACTTTGTACACTTAGACTAAAATAAATTACAAAATAAAACCCCAAATGAGAATAAAACTCTTCATGATCAGTGGATCACCAGTGATGTCAACTGACCCTTGAGTGACCTCTGCATGTCAAATCTTGCATCTCACTTTTGAACCACTTCCTCATAACGAATTGAGCTGAAACTTTGTACACTTTGACTAAAAATTTACAAAATAAAACAATGTAAATAAATCTTCTTTTTTTAAAAATACTTTTCCAAAAATGTACTAAAAGAGTATATAATAAACGACTCCCAAACTTCAGAGTTTTTACAGTCATATTAATAATAAAAAAAAGAGTGAGGCGCCCAAATAATGCCATGATATCATATGACATTTTCTTATGTTGCTTTGTCCAGTTGTTAATTTATGTATGGTCAAATCCTGCATCTCAATTTTGATCTACTTCCTGATCTCCCATTGAGCTGAAACGATGAACATTGAGGTTCATCAAACTTAGTGACAACACTTTATTAACTTGTTGGGATTTATATAAACCTGAGAAGCCATAACACTTATTTAACTTTTGTAATTTAGGTAAGCCTGAGACAGCTATGAGCCCAGATAATCAGGGTGTTATACTCACAGAAGGTTTCATTGACTCAAACCTCTTGGAATGGACTGATGGTGTGGGCATGTTGCCAGGGACTGACATGAAAGTAAATCTTTTCTATAAACTCTGTAGTTAAAGATCTTACTATATTTTCTTCATTCAAAAAAAGGTTCATGTTACAATTATCTAGGCTTATTTTAAATTTAAAAGTTTAAAAATGAAATTTACTTTTTGAAAGCTTTATCAAATATGTTTTATTTAACTCAGACACGTATTGATTTAAAAGTTATTGAACATAACTTAATATTTCATTTGTTTTTGCATTTTCATTTTAGTTCAAAATAAATGAGTTTGGTGACCTTGAGTTAGTTGATGATGGCATGGGCACGCAACCTGTCAAGTTACAGAGCACTGAAAGTAATGGCCCTTTGACCAGCAGTCCTAAGGAGGAAATGACTGATGGCAGTGATGCTAAAACTTCTGGTCATTATTTGTTTTATAACTTTATTTTCTGACGGTTTACTTGTCCATATGCAATATAAATAAAATGTGTTAATTTTAAATATGTTTTAGTATATAAAGATAATGTTTTCTTTAGATGTTTAAAAAAAAATCCCACATGTGAGAAATCTATGTCAAGTTAATTTTATTTTCTCTCATTAAACAGTAAAAAATTTCCATTCTTTTGCAAAACTTTATTCATGTTTTATTACGGTAAGAATTGTTTGATGCTCCAATAACAGGATTTGAAACTTTGATAGGGGCACTACTTTACAGTAAAGTTTGGTCCTTTGGCCAAAAAGATATTGGATATGTGTTGTAATTAAACAATTAAAAATCTCATATACTATTTATTTTGAAAGGATTATTTTGAGAAGCCTATAGTTTTAAACTATTATTTTCTTGTGCAGTGACTGATCCTGCAGAGTTATCAGAACATGAAGGAGATCCCATCTGTTGTTGTGTTTACTGTGGTCGCTATGGTTACAAAAGTAACTTCAGAACGTCAGGCAGATTTTGTTCACAGACATGCGCAGGGAAGTAAGTTAATTGAATACCATTTATTTCAACTGTTAAAAGGTTTTGAAAGGTGCTTTAGAAATCTCAATAAATGAGATAATATTTAGCTACCTTTTTCCTTGGTCAAGCTGATCCTTAAGCCTTTTACTGTCATCAACACTGCTGGCTTTTTAAAATTTCTTTAAGAATTAAAGATGATGGAAATAAAAAAAAAGAATGAGAATATTAATCTCCTCTTAATTTTCCCTAGAAAAAATCTCCACAGAAAACAAATGATAATGTCTCGAATGATGATGGGAATGAAGAACAAGAAAAAGAAATTGATTATGTCAGGAGAGATGAAGACTATTGCCAGGGAAGACGTTGATGGAGCAGGTCAGATTTGAAATTTATTCAAATCTATATTTTTTTAATGTAATCTAGTTTTGATGCACATCCTATGTATTTTCAGTGAGGTTCTGAGACTTTTTTTTTATACATTACTATTTTCTTCTAATATTACATTTTTTTTAAACATTCTCATTTTTATTTTCATATTTTTATTTTTTTTAAAAAATGCATTATTAAAGTAACATGTTGCAGTGGCAGCTAGCCTTAAACTTGGATAACTCATTTAGCTTTTTGTATTTGGGGGCTCAAAAAAAAAAATTCAATTTTAGATGTTAAAAGACCTATAAGTGTCATATTTTTCTTTACCTTTATTTCATTTGCTCTTGGGGACTAACAGAAACTGATTTGTTTCCCTTTATTTCAGTGGGTAATGGGAATGATAAAAAACTGCTGAGCTTTGACTGGGATCTGTACCTAGCTGAGACTGGCTCAATAGGAGCACCAAAAAGACTCTTCAGAGAGGTATGATTACAATTTCTGTTAAATTCTTCTGACAGTCCTTATTGTAACTATTCACTCTGTTGTTGTGGGGAACACAGAGATGATAGTTAGCTAAATTTATATATTATTCAACTGTTACTGCCACTTTTACAAAAATGAATTCACAAGTCCACACTATGCACTTTATTGAAACTGTATTCACATAATAAATAATAATAATATCACCTACAGCCCAGGATATATATATACACTTTCACTTCTTATATTGAATAGTTAAATGTAAATTATACATCCACCTCTGCTCTCGTCCTCACACTTATTTCACAATTTATGAAATAGAGGAATCACATACGACTTCACTATATGGCGGCCTTTACCCTTATCATTTATATCAATACATTTGTGTGACTCAATTGATTTTATCCAATATCAAATCAGCATGTACAAAGTCATATTGTTATACTTATCATTTATAATTTCGTCTCGGCGGTTCTTGTTAAGTCCATTATTTAAAACAAAATTTAAAAAGAGATTGTGAGTCTTTTAAGGAAATTGTTCTGTTAAGTAGTACTATCTTTAAAATAGCTAATTTCACACTCATAAATGCAAGGAAATCCTATGGTTTTAGATGATCTCGAATTCAAATACAATTTATCAATTAACATTTGTACAACTATTGAAAATATTGAATGCCTTTTTTAGCCCTTCCCTAGCAGTCGTAATGGATTCCGATTAGGTATGAGACTAGAGGGAGTAGACCCAAAACATCAATCTCTCTTGTGTGTGCTCAGTGTTGCAGAAATTCAGGGATACAGGTAAATGCTAATGATGTTTAAATTTGGGTTGTTTTTCTTTTAAATTATTTCTCATACTTTTGTATATGACATGATTTTTTAAAGCGTATTAGATTTATCAGGCTGCATAAAGATCAGATCTTTTGTTATATTATGATGCCCATGAATGATCACTATTTGTTCTAATGTAAAGTATTTCCATTCACTCTTTTTGAGCTCATGTATTTAAACATTACATGAACAGATTAAAAAATTGCCTCTTTCTTCCGACAGGCTAAGGCTCCATTTTGATGGCTACTCTGAATGTTATGATTTTTGGGTTAATGCTGACTCACCATTTATATTTCCTGTTGGTTGGGCAGAGAAGAATGGCAAACTGTTGCAGCCACCTAAAAGTAAACCTTTTTTTAAGTTAAAATCTTTGTTTACTTTGTTGTGTTTTCAATGTTGACATGGATAAAAAGTTTGAAAATGTGGGATAAAGATGCATAATAAAACCCCAAAATTTGTAGACCCAAATGCTTTCTAAGGATATCTCCTACATTTTAAAATATTCTTTGATATTTAACCAGCAGTAGTTAAGTACACCCATCATCCACCACCCCCATAACTACAATGATGTCTAAAATGTGCAATTTTTTTAATTAACAGATATCACTCCTGAGGAATTTAATTGGACAAACTACTTGAAACAAATCAGAGCAGTCGCTGCACCAAAACACTTGTTTCTTAATCAGCCTACTTCAGTAAGTTTGCTTTGTAAACTATCTCATACTTTGAAGATGAAAATGTCAGGTTTACATTGATAAATACATAAGGAAAGATTACTTATGTTATAATTTGGTTTATTCTGTCTAATCTTTAAGTTAAACAATCTTAATAAATTATTTTCTGTTTTGGTTTAGGTAACTCCATCAGCTTTTCGTGTTGGAATGAAACTGGAGGCAGTAGATAAGAAAAACTCCAGCCTTGTTTGTGTGGCCTCAGTAGCTGATACACTAGGAGATAGAATCCTAATTCACTTCGATGGTTGGGAAGATGCCTACGACTATTGGTGTGATATTACCTCCCCTTCCATTCACCCTGTAGGCTGGTGCAAGGCTAATGGCCACTCCCTGTCTCCTCCACCTGGTGAGTCACATTTAGGGAAAGTCCTGGCCTAGTAACTCAGACTTATACACTGCAGGAGAGCATTGGCACATTTTTTTTTCAATTTCAGAATTACGCCAATGACACAATGTTAACATGAATTTAATTTATTTTTAAAAATTTGTCAAATATAATTGAAGGTATAACTTATGTGCAGAATTTATAAAGTAACCGCATTATTTTCATTATAATATTGATAATCAAAGTCATATACTTTATAGCAGGTTTGAACAAGAACTGTCCTTATATTAAATTTTTATAACAAAATTGTATTTTTGTAATGTGTTATTTCTAGATTATGGTGATGGTGCCAATTTTACCTGGGACAGTTACCTAGCAGACACAAAATCTACAGCTGTTCCTTCTAGAGCCTTTAAAACAGTGGGTCTTAATTTAAATCTACATTTATTGTTTGTAATCCTAAGGCCTAATGCTCCTTTAAATGATGATACAAATGAATAAATAACTTGAATAAAAATTATATAACTTTTTAAAATCTTTTTAAAAATGTGATTTTGATCATTTCTCCTTTTTGTTTTTTCATTTTATGTTATTTTCTCTTAGTTGAGGTCCAGTTTTTTATGACACGTTATTCCGATTTCTATTTCCAGCGTGGATTTGTGGGCTTTGAGAAGGGCATGAAAGTTGAAGTAGTTGACAAGCGTAATTCCATCTTGATCAGAGTGGCCACAATAGTTGATGTCCAGGACTACAGACTGTTGATTCACTTTGATGGATGGGACTCGATCTATGATTATTGGATGGATGATGATAGCTGGGATATTCATCCACCTCACTGGTGCTCAAAAACATTCCATCCATTACAGAGTCCTATTGGTTTGTTTTTTTATCTTTCAGTCATGAATATGTCCCACAAAGCTATTGACTGTCACAAAGCTTTGTCAAGGATTGCCTTTAGATTGCAATTTTAAAGTGTTGCCTAATTAACACTGTGTATCCAAAAAATTAGATACACAATGAAAATAAGGTTCTGCTTCTTATAACCATCGGCCATTAAACCCCTTACTGTGGTGTCTTGGCCCATATAATCAGCCGCTAGCAAAATCTTCATTAAAAATGCGAATGATTTAATGTATGTATGTTAAGGGGAAATCACTCTATATAAATGAGGTTATTTCCTAGTTATGTATCTATGAGTATGAACATGCTTTTATTAGGGCTTTTTTTGTGTGATTAATCGAGTGTTCAATTTGCTATAAAAAAAAATTGACCGCCATAACGTATGAATCAACTAAAAACAAAGAATTTCTTTATTGGAATTATTTCAAATGGATTAAAATGAAAGCAATGATTTCAGCTAAATCCACGTGCTAGTAAATACAGTATTAGCTCTAGCGTTGATTGTGACATAAGAATCAGATGTTGACAGTTTTAGCCCTAAGCTTAATATTATTGTTACAGACAAATTCGTTTGGGAAAGGGTGGAAAATCAAACAGAAAAGACTATAATTGGATCCCAGCGACCTAGACAAAATTGATGCAAAGACATTTATGTTTATGCTTATTCTGGGGCATTTTGTAATAAAACGTGGATTTAATAGCTTCATTCAAAGGAATTTTTTAACTCATTTCGTGCTTTCCCCCTTCTATTTTGTCTGACAGAAATTTGAAGTTAGTGAATGAAGAAAATTCACCAATATTACAATTTTCAATATATGTACTTATAACTTGAAATTTTCTGAAAGAATATTGCTTCTAGTATCTCAAAAACATGACTTTATGATAGTTTGAACAATTTATGTAGTATTAGGTTGGGTTGTATTCAGAAGTTGAGGAGTAAAAAAAAGTTACTCACTCTTTAAAATTCAAGGTCAAAATCAACGTACATAACATAAAAACAAATTCTTTTCATACCATAAGATACCTTGCTCAATGTACTTTCAGAAAATGTATACTTGTAAGGGTCTTTGAATACATTTAGTATGGAAATTTGTCATTTTTGTGAAGCATATCAAAGTGTTAAAAATGACTTGACACTAGAGAAAAATGCACTGGACAGTTATAGAGTTAAGGACTATACTATTCCAAGTGTTTCAAATTTATTAAAGTAAAATGAATCTCAGCATTATAATTACACATGAAAGATACTTTCATTTATGTTTATACAAACTTGGGTTTTTCCAAATTAACAGACAAAAAAAGCCTTAAAAATAATGCAGACAGTGGCGGTTGTCCAACCATTGGATGCAAGGGAATAGGTCACATAAAAGGAGCCAAATACACTGGACATCACAGGTGATTATGGCATTGGTGATTATAGAATGATCAGCGAGCAGTAAGAAAGCCTTAAAAAAAGATGTATTAGCACTTCTCTCGATTTAATGTCACAATATACACAAAGCTGTGTGAGGTATGCTAAACTGTTAAATAAGCTGAAAAGTTATTTTTTTAAAAATAACAACAAGATTACTACAAAATTGCTTCAAATGCACTTCACATTTTACCGTATCTTTCACATTGGAGTGCATGTAATTTAGCTTAAGATCATTGAATGTATCTGTAAAATCATTGAATGTATCTGTAAAATTAATGACTCTCAGATATGGCAGAATTTATAACAAGAATTAATGTAAGACATTGACATCTTTTGTTAACAGTGCATTTGGTTGTCCTTATTCTGAGCTAAACATGAGTAAAGACACAGCCCTTACAGACAGACTTGGCTCATCCCGTTCAGAAGAAGGAATGGGTCCACAAACTAGACATGATTTGAATGTTGACATGAGGTATTGGGCATAAAGATTCTTTTGAGGTTGACATGAAATATTAGAGGGGGGGTAAGAGTTTTTAATGTTGACTTATGGTATTGGACATAAGATAGTTTTAATGTTAATTAGGGGAATAAATATCATTTTAATACTGACAAATAATTCAAATAAAGATCTTTTCTCATTCAAGTTTTATAAATTCATTTTTTTAATAAAATTGTCTATTTTAGGAAATGTCCAACAGCCGGATGTGATGGACTAGGTCATGTGACTGGAAAGTTCACCTCACATCACTGCTTGTCAGGCTGCCCCCTGGCTGAGAAAAATCTTATCAAGGTCAAACAGGAAACTGTTGTCGAACCTCGTCCTGTTGGTCGCCCTGGCAGAGGGAGAAAAAGGTATTGTGGGAAGGTTTTATTTTTACACTCTTGCTTTCTTTCACATTTATTTAAAAATAGCTCTAAATTGATCATACCACCTGTTAGCCGCCAAATATATTGCTTGTCTTCAATGCACATCATGACACGGTATCCAGAAATTTGATGTGTATTCATGATTCCTAACTAATTTATTCAGCACATACTTCGTAATGTTTAAATAGACTGTTAAGTGCATGTTTTTATATGATCACTTACTTATAATTGACTCATTGTGTTTCCTTCTTTCTTAGAAAAATATTTAGTACATCCCACATGCCTGGTGAAAAGGTTATAAAGACAGAACCTGTAGAAGGTAATCCCCCCTCCCCTCTCTCTGTCTCTCTCTCTTCCTCCCTCCCTCCCTCTCCCCCCATCTTTTTTTTTTTTTCCCGAAATTGTGACAAGTACTCTTAAGTTATTAAATTTTTTAAAGTCAAATCGATTATGAAGTATTCTAGAAGGTCAGATAGGGAGGTAATATTATGTAAACATGATCTCCCAAGAGATCCATGCAAACAAATTCCCAGTAATATTGTTTAAAAAAATCAAGACATTTCCATTTATTGCTCCGGTCAAATTATTTATAATTATCCATTCACTTAAGGTTGATATGACCCATCAAACATCATTATGTGTCAGAAAATTAAAATTTGTCCATAATTTTTTTCAAATCAAGCCATGTGCCATATTTACTTTAGTTAACCTCTGAATCAACAGATCAAAGTGATGAGAGGAGTTCCTTGCATGCCAGCATCCATGAATCAGTATTCCAGACATCAGCAATGTCCCCTCCTCCAAGTGATCAGCCCCTCTGTTGGGAACAGCATGCTAAGCTTTTACCAGGGGTCATGGAGCTGAACCACAATCTGGTATGCAACTGGTCTGTGGATGAGGTTGCCGACTTTGTATTCAAACTGACAGGACAAGAAGAACAAGCTCAGAAGTTCAAGGATGAGGTTAGATATAGTTAAACTGTGCATCCGACCAAAGAAATAAATCTCTTTAAATGTACAACAATGACTAATTTATGTGTTGCACAGGGTAACGGGTTACTATTTGAAAATCAGTATTGAAAATCAAGGTAGTGGTGACATACTTAACATCAAATAGCATAATTCCTGTTAAGAGAGAGAAACTTTAGAACATATCCAATTTCATCCCCTTTGAAATTCACAACACATTTTTTTCCCTTGATTATGAATTACCGTATTTATTGGCGTATAACATGCCCTGGCATATAACACGCACCTCAATTTAAGAAGGAAATTTCAGGAAAAAACTAAACATTATATTGGCATATAACACTCACACATGATTTGCCCCCTATTTTCGGGGAGAAAAAGTAAATGTTATATGCCAATAAATACAGTAGTTGTTTGGTTTTTTTTTAGTTTAAAGAGGATGAGTTTTAATTAGCTGAAACATAAAATTCAGTTTATGAAGACAGCAGTTTTTACAGACAATATTACTAATATAAAAAAAAATGGCTTATTACGTGTCAAATTTTTGACTACTTCATTTTCACATGACTTACTATTCATATTGACATCACTGAAATTTCACAGAATAATTTTTGCCGAAAATGCGTCTTGGGATAAAAGCTTAGTGAGATATTTTTTAACATTTTTTTCAGCAAGTGGATGGGGACTCATTCTTACTTCTTCAGCAGAGTGATCTTTTGAACTTCCTGAACATCAAGCTAGGCCCAGCAATCAAGATATTTAACAGTATTCTTGTTTTTAAAGCTGCCAATGATTTTTAGTCCTAGAATAAGTTCCATTTCTTTCCATCTTGTCAAGTTTCTTTCTTTACTGTTGAAACTCTGGAGATATTAAGTATTGTAACATTTTTTTATACACATTTCTTTGTAAAAAGTTTTTTTTTAAAAGAATATGTTGCTTTTTGGAGATATTTTGTATGAGTTTCTCTAAACTGTTGGTGCAGATTTACACTGTATTTGCTTTCAAGGCCAATAAAGATAAAGCCTGAAATTTCTTCTCTTGTTTGTGCCATATTGTCATATATGAAATCACATTAAATCCTGCTGTGCTCTGTTTGAAAAATTAATAATGCTGTATATATTTTGGCTCAAGTGGAAAGCAGTTGCTTTGCTTACTATCTGTATATGGTTTTTAAATTTGTTATTTACTTGCATTTTTCCAGTAGAGCCAATGTGAATATAAATATTACTATGTGACTAAATATGGGAAAATATGTTGAATCACATGTAATGAGGCAAAGCTATAAATATTTGTTTCAAAAAAATAAATGATTGATCTAAAATAAATATATTGCAAAAGTAAAACAGCATCTGATGTGAAGGAATTTTATTCAATTATGCTATCATATTCATAGTGAACTGTGTAAATCAAAAAGATTTCTATTTCCAATCTAAATGATAACCTTGTAAATCTTATCTGTCCAATATAAAATTGTTAATTTCTTTCGTTTTACATTTTATTCATTTAGTGACATGCAGATCCTTACATTTAGTGACAAGAAGTTCCTTACATTTAGTGACAAGCAGATCCTTACATTTAGTGACAATAGATGTCACAGTCTCAACAGTACAAAATGGTTGTGTTAGCTAGAGACTGAAATGTTGTGATATAATGAGGGAATTTGAACATAAATGAAATTTGAAAATTTAAGTGATGAATATTTTTTGTTAATGATTAAGTTTTTTTTATATCATGTTTATGTTTACTAACATGCGATGTATCACATGTTTTTTTTTACTCGGAAGGTATTAAAGCATGGGAATTAATGACACAAGACAAATGCTGCTATTTCTATACCATTATGTTTTTAAAACTATTGATTCACATTCAATATGTGGATTTGCAAGAGTTTTTTTGGGGGGTTTTTTTTTTTAATGATTTGAATTCTGAAGTTTTTGCCTTGCAACAGATCTTATTGCTTGTCTACAACGCTCATTTTATTTCCCTTGTTCAGCTTTTGAACCAACCCCTTAGGCATAACATTGCAGAATGTAACTAATAGTAATCTTTTTTTACAGATATTTGTTAAGCCAAACAAAATCCCCATGTCTATCGTTTGTATACTGAGAATGTTGCTGCTTCAATGGCAGGGGAACACAGCCCCTCTGCAAGTAGCACCAGGGTGACTTTTTATCATTTGGAAAGGTCGTATTTCACGTAGAAATACTTTCCGCTGTTACCATTTTCGGCCAACTGACCACCGGTTGTTTATCCCAACATTAATCGCTATGATTGCACGCACAGGGTTTCTACTGTGGCTATTTATATATTTGCTTAACATTCCTGAGAATTGCAGAGCTCTTCATGCTCCTAGTATATGTTTCCACAATTTCCATTCTTCTTTCCAACATCTGCTTGTCAGTAAGACCTTAATGTATTTCTTTCAGAGGTTACATGCATTTATTAAGTAAAATATCGGCTAGATTTACCTACATTCTATCATTTTGGAATAATTTTCTTTCCATAAATTTACATATCCACAGGATACATCCTAATTAGTACCTAATCGTATGTTTTTTCAACTGGTTTGGTTACATCGTAAGGAAAACTGTCCTTTTAAAAATAACCATCAACTTTGTTGCATTTAATTAAAGGAACCTTGTTGATTGTTTTTTTATTTTCAATGCTGCTATTTATCTAAATTTACTATAAAAAAATGCTTAAGTCGTCCTGAATCTCCCAAGCTTATTATCAGTCTTTGATTCCCTGCTTTCTACATATCGATGTCAAAGCTTCTATTTTTTTATTCCTTATTTTCGTTGTGGAATTTATTTATTTTTGTGGAACTTTGTGTTATTAGTTATAACTTTTGATATGAGATTAACAGGAGTATTATGGTGCTTGCTAAAGGACTCGACATAAATAAACATACTGTTTTGTGTCCTATCAGTTTGAAAGTGTGACATAAATTAATTGAAATTACACTTCATTCTCATTTTTGCAAGCTTTTACTTAGTTTTTTTAATGTGCATTGGTGTAAAAATTAATTCTGAATATCTTCATTTGCTCAAGAAGCTTGTATATCTAATCAAGATATGCATTTTGACTACCGCCCCCTCCCCTTAAATCCTTTCACATTTTTGGGTTCGATACCAAATAAATTCTCTGATAAACTTCTTAAACATTGTGATATGTAGCTATAAAATCCTCATAATAGAAAAATCCATCCATGATGAGAATGATTTGTCTGTCACAAATTAAATTGAAATAAGTGACCTCAAGAAATTTGTCTTGGGACCTAGACTCTTTAAAAACTATAAACCCATTAGGTAAGCACTAAGAAACCAGTGAGTGAAATGGGCCAGAATTAAGGTCATCATTTAAAAATCATTTGTGCCTACCCTGGTAGGTACAAATTGAAGTTTTTGTTGTGCTTTTGTTTATTAAAATATCAATTCAAAAATTTATTTTGATTATTCATTCATAATACAGTAGCACTGCTTAATGTGGGTTTTTTTAATTTACTTAATCAGCATATGCATTTATTGTAGTTATGGTACTGGCCTGGATTATTACGTTGGGAAAAATCATCTTGTACTTCCCAAACTGTAGCACATATGCCAGTACTTGGTTGCAGCAAAGTAGCCTATCAGAATAATAGGTTATCTCGTATGTTTTGACTTGTATTCAAAATACCACTTATGTTATGTAGGATATAATGATTTTATAATGTAATAAAGAGATCAGTGAGCAGCATGTACCCCACCTCCTGGGGCCACTTTTAAGATTTGTTCTAAAACTGTTTTCTCTTTCTTTTTTTAAAAAATACTCTATAGGCTTATGAACCATAAGTAGGAGAGGAACTTGAGGGAGTCTCCATTAAATGTCCTCATTTGACAAGCTAAGAAACCCACCGTCAACCCACTCTCTCAACCACTGTCACAGTCTTTTTTTTAATGTCTTTGCTAATGTTATGATTGTTATTTAAATTTGAAAACATTGGATCTCTGTGCCATTCAGAAGATGGTATATTGGCATTGATAAAAAAAAAACAGCTACCGGTATACATAACTTTTGTGTTTGTGAAAGTACAATATGCATAATGTTGTGTATTTTAACTGCAACAAAGTATTATTAGGAATTTCTGTTTGACAATGGTGTATATTTAAAAAATGTTTTGAAGCATTTTACAGGGCTATTGGGGGTGGGAGAGGTTGCTATACTTCATGTTGTTACTGAACAATTATATAAATAACAGTATTTATAAAAACAATGTGTACACCAAACAACAAATGATTTAGTTCTGAAAACATCCAGAAAATTTTAGAATCTTTGTAAATATTGAAATGACCTGTTAAGATCTAGAACAAGTTTCCAGCAAGAAGAAAAAAGATGTTACAATTGCTGGTTTTTTGTTTTCCCTCTGAATATTTACTTTTACTTGTTAACTAGATATCTGTGATTTAATGTCATGGTATGTGTTGTGCCTTTCTCTTGCTTGTCATTTTATTCACAAGGTTTGTTTACATATACATCTCTGGTTAGAGAGTTGCTGTATTTCTTGACCTGTTTGTTTCATTTGCAAGTTAATACTTGCAAAGTTTCATTTTCAGTGTTTAAAGTTTTATAGCATATTGCAGCAGAAACTAGAGAAAATATTCTATTATATAAGTCATCATTCGCTGGAAATTTTAAGGGATTTTTTATATTAAAATTTAAAGGTGGAAATTAATTTTCATGGAACAACTGTATCTAAGAGCCTCAATGTGATAATTTTGAATATATGGAAGACATTAATTGTGTACCTTGATTTCTGGTTACAAGCCCCTGTCTTTGTGCAAAGACTTGATGTCATCAGCTAAAGGAATATTTTTGGGGAACAATTTCTATTGCTGTGTGTGCAGCATATGTCCATTTATAAATTAACTAAATTCAACTTAAGCATCATAATCTTTTTGCATTATAACAAGAATTGCAAATATTAATTCCCTGCTATGAATTTCAACAAGAATAGTTCAAGGACTGTCATCAAAATCTTGACGCAAAAATGCTTCAATGTAAACTTTGGCTTTAATGGGATGAACAAATTCTTGTTTTTTTGTTTTTTTTTTTTATTTTTAAGTTAAGGAAATGATATAGAACATCAGTACTTTAAATAGCTACAGTTTAAGAATTAAAAAGAAGCAAAGCATTTGCTTCTATTGACTTGAGTTTATAAATATGTATAATGTGCCTGCTGGGGAAGTGTCTTGGAACACTTGTGTTTTTTTAAAATTGATATTTATTCAATAAACATTTATCCTAGCAAGGTTTGTCTTTAAGTCTTAGTAAACTAACATTCTATACTTTTATTAAATCATGTTTGTAACAGCATAATAATTTTTTTGTTAGCCTGGTTCAGTTGATGTTTTGATCTCTTTACTCCCTCATCATGTGTACATAATCGAATTGCATTCATTAAATATCCATCTCTTCTTTAAAGCAACTTAATAAAATTGTGGCATGATTTTTGGCACTATGTCAAAATTTACCAAGATTTTATTAGTCCTTCTGACATGGCTGGTGTATTACTTCATTCATGTTTTTAAATATAATATTGAATTCAATAAACCACGCCTCCTTGCTCAGAATGGTTTCTTTAGTAGTTTGAATATCAATATCATCGAAAACCACAATTCATTTTTAAAATTATGTCCATGTTTCAGTTAAATTTATCCACCATTTGCAGTTTTGAAATAAACAGATCCACCTTCTAAAAATATCCACCAGTTTTTTTTATTTTCATGTTTGTTTTATTTCATTATCCTAAAAGACATCTAAGGCAAACAATGGAAACTACTTCAATAACTTCCAATAGCCTTCAATTCAATCAATCCACTGAAGCCAATATTTCACAAATGGCAACTTAAAAATTTTTAATGATGATGAAAAAATTTTGTTTCATTATGAGTTCAATTTAGTACCAAATAATATAAATCTATTTTAAAATCACAAAATTGCCTCAGCTCTTTTTCTGTTTTACAACTTTTTTATTGACATCATGATAATACAGGTATCACCGATGCCCGACTTAAATTCGTAAAGCATAGAAGCTTGGTACTTCCATAAATTGGAAATCATTATACCCTGGAGCTCAACACTTTTATATTACGAAAGCAATGATGTAAGGCAAACAATAACTTGACTTAATTATTTTATTTTATTACATTTGAAATCAATGTTAATTAGGAATACACATCAATTTAATTTTGCAAAAAATACAATTATATAAAGTCTGAAAACTTACATTTTCTGAACAGTTGCTGGTGACTTGATAGTCTTTCGCAAAATATTAAATCAATATTTAATTATATCTATATCAATCTATTTTTCTTTAGACTTTATCAACCTGATATAATACCTGTATAGTAAACTCAAAAAAAAAATATAATCTATAAAGAATACTATCTTAAAGCTATAAATAAATTTTTGTTGAAGCCAAATATATTAATGCAGCATTCCCATTGACGCAGTGGTCCTTGGACCGTCACCAGTCAGCGAGCTTTATGTTGCTGGTCAAAATGAATATATAAGGTCAAATAAATAAAATATAATAAATAAATCTGGCACCAGTCCCTGGTTCATTTTCAAAACTTGTCCAGTGATCTAATAGTAGTTGGGCAGCGCTGCATGACTGCATCTGATTAATTATTTATAATAACTTAAGAAGCATTTTTTTTTTTAGAGTGCACAATAATTATAAAGTCTTGGCTTTGAAAGAGCTGCTCAGAAAACCATAAAAATCAGGACTATATTTGCCAACATTTCATAACACTATATTTAAAATATTTTTCCCTTCTCTAACCAAAATTATAGTTTTTTGCATTGGATCGAAATACCTCGAAATGGTGCCATAAACATAGATAAGTTGGTTAAAATCAACCATACTTTTGCTCCATTAGCAGCCTATTAAGTTGCTACTGTTATGGCTTAGAACATCCCCCACTTATTCAACATAATTTAATGATATGGGTTTAACAGTTATAATTATTTTTTCTAAAGTACATAGTTTGTTTTAAGAGCTTTTCAATAATCAACTTTAAAAAAAGGCTTTCTGTAATTTCAACAAGAAGAACAAAGAGATAAAAGGGGGGAAGAGAAGCAACAATTACTATATTTCTCAATTATTTATATACATAAAGTATATTACCAACAGAAAGATAAAAATGTAATGAAGCTACAAATGGACGGAAGAAAACTTTACAAAGCTATTATATAAATATGCACTCCATAGATTTAAAATCTCACTTTTACTTTTGTTATAAAGTAATTATCTTGTAAAAAGGATGGATGGTTCAGTAGTTACAATTACTTAAATATATTTTTATATGTATATGTAATATATTTCGTACACATTCATTAATTCATTTCACTTTATAATGTTGGCACATTTTAAAATATTTACACAAAATTTCCTGTACTTTAAGAAAAAGGGGCAAATACCTATCCATTATAGATTTTTAGAAGAAAAAAAGTGTTAATGAAATTATTAAACAAATTTATTTTTTTTATTAAAGGAGAGCAAATACTAAGAAGCGCTTTCTTATTTTCCGGAAATGGGACCAAGATTTGTTTGAACATAACCTAGAAAATTGCTATAACTGCCTTCAAAATGTTAATTTCTATGATTGGTGGACAGTTCATTTGGACTAATGACAAAATGCATGAATTCATAATAAATTAATATAAAAAGAAAAATTATGCTTGAATTCATTCTAAATAAATATTTTTATAAAGAAATGAAAAGAAAATGCAGCTAGAAATTTGATTTTTTAAAAAATGTTTATCGTATTGCAAAAGCAATTATCTAGCTGAATCTTATGTGTAAATGATGTTTCAAAGAAATGAGATTCAAATATCTTTTTTAAAGATAATCGGCTAATGATCATTCGAGATGCCACTTCCCTTTGTTTATTTTTACTAAATTATTTTAGGGATCGATGTTGGGTTCAGGTTAGGCAGAGGGATCGATTTAGGGTTCAGGTTAGGCATAGGGATAGATGACTTCACGTGACGTGTCAACCAAGATGGCGGCCACTGATAAAATAGTGGCATTTTCAGTGATCATTTACCAGATAATCATTGAAAATAAAATCAATCTTACTTTTTTTTAAAGCAATAAATATCGGAAATAATATATTTCTATTAAATAAAAAATTGATTGAACGTACAGAATAAAACGTGAGTAAGTTGGACAAAATATTTTAATTAATGATTACATAATTTGCATTGAATGAAACATGAGAAGAATTGAACATTTCCAAATGTAAAACACTGGGCACATTAGGCAGTTTAAAAAGTCATTTAGTTTTCTTCACACAACTAGAAACTATGAAATAGACCATAATGTGATCCTTCCCTCAAACCTCAATTATGTCTCTAGTTTAGTTTAATGCTGTGAGATTTTTAAAAAAAATTAAAATTATGTTTGATGCGCTATTTACACACCTATTAGCCCAGTCTAAATAAAGAATGTTCAAATCAAAGTATTAAGTTCAAGTTTTGAATAAAAGTGTATTTTATAGCCATGAAAGGCTAATTAAGTTTTTAAAATGTCATTTCAAAGAAAAATTATGACAATTTCTGTATTTTTCAGGAATCTATTAGGCCGCTAACAAATGTTAAGTAATTAACCACTTCATTACCAATGACGTCAACGCGACGTCACGATCACCCACTTTCAATTACCAAGGACATCATGTTGTCATCATAACAAAAAGTCAAAGAACTTTTCTGAAATACCAAGGACGTCATGTCGACGTCAAATTTCAATGCTATATATTTCCTTATACGTTAATCTATAGAGAAGTTAAAAAGGGAATCGGACAGAGAATGAAATATACCAAAAATTTCATCCCCCCCCCCCCACCCCAAAGTTTTTTTATTGCTGCCAAAACCCTGCGGTAATGAAAGGGTTAATGTATTTTTTTAAAAATATAAATCACAACCAATAGATTTAAAAACACATTTTCATGTCCTTCTAAATACATAAAAGCACCTGTTGAACAAACAATGCTGTGTGTTCATTTTTCACTACTTAAAAAGTACAAACACATCTAAAATTACTTTGAAATGTTTATTTTACATTAAAAAATGGGCAGATCCGTAGACCATTGTGTAATGATGTTTATCTGAAGCCTGGTATTTTATCATGGAACACAAAGATGAGATAAATGGTAACACTGAGACACATCAAGACTTGAGGTATCTGGCAAAGAAAAGTGTATGAATGCCATTTTTAATACAAATTTAATAATGCAGACAATAAAAAATGTCTTCAACAAGTTTCAAGAGATAGGGGTATGGTAAAGTATGACATGAGGCTAGAGAGCATCACCATAATCCTTTCATTTGTTGACCTGGCAACTGGAGAGTATTTCTCAACTGGGTTGATTTACTTTTTATTCTTATTCAATTTAAATATATTTCTGCTTAGTCATTCCCAATATTTTGCTTACAATGAAGCCTTTCTGCTGAAATATTTGCCAACTTTATAAGCCTTGCCCAAGCTCCTCCTTTTTAAATCAATTTTACTAGCTCAATTGCAGTCATCCCCATAATTTACTCCCAGTATGTAAAATGCTAAGCAGATATGGCATTCATAGTCTCTTTGAACATGGGGTGGGGGTTGTGCAAAAAGGACTATTAATTTTTTTTTAAATATAAATAATTATTTAATTCACTTTATATCTTTATTTGGGAATATTTCAATTATAATCAAATCCCAACTTTTCTACCAAATACTTATTTAATGGAAGGATTTTATAAAAGAATTCAAGATAGTAGCCTGAATAAAAAGAAACAAATCAAGTCCAGAATCTCCCACAATTACACTCCTTTAAACAAACTTTAAACAGTGAAATTTTAAAGAACTCAAAATTTTTCATGGAACAGGTACTAGGCAAGATTGGATTTAAACATATTTAATTGTCTTTGTTTAAAAAATGTAATTTAACTCTCAAATAAAGTGAATGACTTTAAATTTGCTGGATTTCATGACATACCATTGAACACAAATGCAGTTTGACCAGTTACAAAAGAAGATTTATTCTTGAGTTATATTTGAAATATGATCTTTTTAATAGTTGAAACAGCATGAATGTTAAATATATATTTAACTATTTTTTAAAATCGTGGCTTCAATTCAATGAATAACAGAAACAGAACATCAACAGAAGAATTGAATAAAATTATCTGTGTCTTTATCAGTCCCAGCCATGGCTTGGCTTATCACTACAACTAGAGTTTTTGCTCCTGAAATGCATACATGACAACAGCTGACAATCTCAACAGTGTCATCATGTTGAGCCAATGTGTGTCAGTAGATGTTGCTATTGTGGAATGGAATTTTTAACATTAAGGCTTTATTCAAGTCTAATATCTCTGTTCCACATGAAATTCTGAGGTCCTTAAACTTTTATAAATTCATAAGTCTATTATGCTTTACGGCAGTGAGGTTTACCGAGGGTTAAACCATTGTTTTATTGAAATTGTGACAAGGTGGGTCTTCATCATTTAATAATTATTTCGTGTTTTAGCACCTGTAGAAAAGGTTTTGCACCACTGCCATAGAGCCCAAGGTATCTTTAAGTATAAAACAATTCCTTATCCCCTCAGTTGAGTTCATTGAACTATAAAATCCTGCACAAGATAAAATAAATCACTTCAGCTGTAAAATCTTTTCAGTGGTGTAACTGGCAGGTGGTGCCTCTCCTGGTCATCATCTTAAAACTAGTTAAATTACTCACATTTTAGAGAAAATTGAGTTTTAAACTACATTAAGTGTTTTGAGAAATTAATTTTGTTTTATATTTTAATGGATAATTTTTTAAGTGCTAATTTTTTCAAAACATATTGACACTTATAAACAACATTATTGGGAAATTTGAATCCTCTCCATCCTTTCTTACTAACAAATGTTTTCACATGGAAGGAGCTCAAGAGCAATTGCTGGTCCACTGTTCCAGTATTTAACAGAAACTCATCCCTCTCCCCTATAGACAGCAACGAGGCCATGACAGGCAATTCCGGCTCATACCAGCTTGAAGCCAGTATAGGGACTGCTCATTCCTGCCCAAGACAATCAGGGACTGGAACAAGCTTTCAAAGGGAACAGTTGAGGCGACAACACTAGAAACATTTGCATCTTTTGCCTCAGGCCTTCCAACCCCCAGTGCATGATACCCTCACAAAGTGGCCCTTGCAACCAGTGAAATATCCTCATCAACACCAGGCACAGAAACATTGCAAATCCCCTCTACAAGCATAGGAGCCAAAATGATCAATAAATTGATCGTGGGCCCTTAATTTATAGAAAAAGAAGAAGATATTTTAATCTGTTACAAATATCGATATTTCAAAAATGTTTTACATGTATTATAAAAGGATCCAAATAAAATGAGTTATTCTTCCATTTATATGACCAGGTGTTTGATTCTCTCACAATGAACAAAGGATTTTATTTATTTTTGTAATCATAATGAAATGAGTAATTAAACTTTGAAAAGAACTTACTTTTGTGTCCAGTCAGTTCGCCGAGGCCCAGGACCGTAATTTGAGGATCCTGTAGGTTTTTTGCTGGTCCCAACTGCTGGCAAGGGTGCCGGTTTCTTCCAGCTGCTGACCATTGAAGGCTGATACCCAGAAGTACCAGAAGGCTGATTAAAAGAAGGCTGGTAACTTCCTCCTCCAGAGGCACCTTTGTAGCCCCCACCAACAGTGGGTTGAGCTCCCCCAAAGTTATTTCCTAGGCCCCTGCCTGCAGGATTGACAAGGCCTGATGGACCACCACCAAAGCCCCCTGCACCAGATGGGCTGCCATATGTCGGTGGATTGTTGAAGTTGCTTGGACTACCAAAGCCTACACCACCAGCACCACCTAAAAAAAGGAAAAAAACAACTAAACATATTGGCCTGAAAATATACATTTATTACAAAATATAATTCTGGAGCACTTGAAAAAAAAAAGTATTGTTAAGCGACAAAATATCATGAGCTTGCATTTTGTTTAAAGGTTAGTTGCATAAGTAATTGATATGATACAAAATTTTACATGTTTTTAGCCACCTCTAATTTAACTTGACATTAGTGTTGTTATAGTTTCCATGTTTACATTTCAAATCTTTGAGTCTTTACTTAGATGGGATACTAAAGATTTTCATCGCTGTAATTTTGGCTCAAGATTCTTATTTTAGAAAAAATTTAATTTATTAATATCTACAGCTTTATTTTTTATGTCATTACAAAATTTATATACAAAATTATAATATCATTGTAAATTGAAAACCGCAAAAACTCAATACTGTTAAATTTAGTAATGTTAATTCAGCAATTGTTTCAATTTAATTAAAAACTTATATTTTGTTAGCTCTTTAATAGGCTGAACATTGAACTTTGATTTAGATTAACTCAAATTTTAGAAAATGGTGACAACAAAATTTGTGCTATTAAAATTAGCTTTCACAAATGCTTTGTTGAAGACTGATTTTTATACAAATGTTTCTTGATTTAATTATTTACATAAATCTTCTGTACATTAAAACTATGGTTACCTCTTTGAAAATTTTAAAAAATTTTAAAAATTGCCCATGTACTAATTTGCTATCAGTGAGTTTCAATCAGATGGCTTTTGTAAATTGATTTTTTTGAAAATATAATAAATAAATATGGAAAGAAAATTTTAAGGAAAATTAATCAAATGTAAAAAGATGAAAGCAAAATTAAGATCTAAGACTTATCAAATAAAAGCAGGAAATGAAAAGCAATGAATTTTTAAAGTAGAATAATTGCATGATGTGAGATTGAAAAAAATGAAAAACAACTAGGATTGGGCTATGATAACAGTTACCATACCTTTCCCACCAAGAAAAGATGGGATATAATCACTGTCATTATTCTGAGCTCTAGGCACTCCTGTAAAATGGTTTCAAAAGTAGTAGACAATGAATAGCACCATTCAGCTCCAAAACCTGCCATATATGTCACCTTATTTTTAAAGTGATTGTGTTTAGATTTTTAAAAATGTTCTGGCGGCTTCACTTGAACGAAAGATTCAATTTAATATTTTTTTATTATTTCAGGTTCATTAGGGACATACTAAAAACTTAACTTTAGAGCTTTATTAAGAACAAAATCTGAGATAGTTCTCAGTTAAGTCTAGCCAGATGTTGTGAAGGAAATTTCATTCCGGCTCCATTCATTGAAACAACTTGAAGAAAAATGGGAAAATAGTATACCTAAACCAATTTCACATGAAATCAAGTCAAATATTTTTAACATTTTTTCCAGTTGCCCCCCCCCCCAAAACAAACAAAAGGTAAAAAAAAAAATAATATTAGAAAAAAAGAAAGAAAAAAAGAAAAATAAACAAAAAGGAAAAAAAAAAAAGAAAAAAAAATCTCCATTCATTGAAACAACTTAAAAAAAAATGGGAAAATAGTATACCTAAACCAATTTCACATGAAATCAAGTCAAATATTTTTAACATTTTTTCCAGTTGCCCCCCCCCCCCCAAACCAACCAAAGGTTAAAAAAAAAATTATTTTGGCAAAAGAGAAAGCTACACAGCAAACATAACAGTAGGGAAAAGAAGCAATGCAAAAAAAAAGTTCAAAGTCAATTTGTTTTGTTTTTTAAGGAACAGAAACAGTGGTAATGAAAAGGAAATATTTTCAATGTTTTTATATCAAAGCTTTAGAAGAGATACACTCTGAAAAATGTAAGAGCATTTTATGTAAAAGAACAAAATTATTTTAATAGCAAGCACTCAAATGTCGTATCAAAAACACACTCAGAAAGGAGTTAGAGTTTGTTTTTTTATTTAAGCTGAAACAAAATGGTATGTTCACACCCTGAGTACTAGCCTACAGTCTGTTAAATGGCCAGGATGAGATCTAAAATGGGAAAAGCTCACTGTTATTTGAATTGATGGATCCCAATGGCTGGGCCTTGGGCAGAGGTGCAGTGTTCCAGTCACTTCCTAAGCCGAAGCTATCTCTGCGTGTGCTGTCTCGACGGGCACTAGTTTTAGGATTGATGCCTGGAGTGGTTTGACAAAAATATTAATAACAAAACTCAAAAAAGAGTTTGAATATAAAGACATAACTTTAATCCACAGCACTTAAAAAACACTTTATTTTTCCTGTTCCATAATAACAAATGAATAATGATTGATTAAATCATGTTACAAATTAAATCTCTATCCATTTGTGAAAACTCATACTGTATAAACTTACCTGGCAAATATCTAGATTTACTAAGGTAGTGTTGTTTGGCAGAAGATGCTGCTGAAGATCGGCCAGAGTTCAACCTATTCTGTTGCTTGTTGCCTTGGTTCCTTTTGGGCAGAAGGCCTCTGCCAGATGTAACAAACAATTATAAAATAAACAGTTGGAAAACCCAAAGGTAACAAAAGATCTGAATAAACTTCAAGTCTATAAATAAGCCCTGAAGTAGAGGACTGCCCATGTATTTTAAATATAAAAAGTATAAATACTGCTTGCTTGAGTGCAGTCAAATATTTAATTTGTAAAGGTAAAAGGTGCACTAAAACATGTAGCTTGATCTAAGATGAACTCTCCCCTTTTAAGGATTTAATAATGAAGTATCCTTCAACTTAAGGTACTATAAACTTATTTGGGGAAAAAAAATCACAAACTGTGTGTGCTCCCCTAAACAAGTGTATCTCAAGACAAGTGTATCTCAAGACAATTGTATCTAAAGACAAGTGTATGTCAAGACAATTGTATCTAAACACAAGTGTATCTGAAAACACTTGAATCTAAAGACAATTGTATCTAAAGACAAGTGTATCTTAAGACAAGTGTATCTCAAGACAAGTGTATCTCAAGACAAGTGTATCTCAAGACAAGTGTATCTCAAGACAATTGTATCTTAAGACAAGTGTATCTCAAGACAAGTGTATCTCAAGACAATTGTATCTCAAGACAATTGTATCTCAAGACAAGTGTATCTCAAGACAAGTGTATCTCAAGACAAGTGTATCTCAAGACAAGTGTATCTCAAGACAAGTGTATCTCAAGACAATTGTATCTCAAGACAAGTGTATCTCAAGACAAGTGTATCTCAAGACAAGTGTATCTCAAGACAAGTGTATCTCAAGACAATTGTATCTAAAGACAAGTGTATGTCAAGACAATTGTATCTAAACACAAGTGTATCTGAAAACACTTGAATCTAAAGACAATTGTATCTAAAGACAAGTGTATCTTAAGACAAGTGTATCTCAAGACAAGTGTATCTCAAGACAAGTGTATCTCAAGACAAGTGTATCTCAAGACAATTGTATCTTAAGACAAGTGTATCTCAAGACAAGTGTATCTCAAGACAATTGTATCTCAAGACAATTGTATCTCAAGACAATTGTATCTCAAGACAAGTGTATCTCAAGACAAGTGTATCTCAAGACAAGTGTATCTCAAGACAATTGTATCTAAAGACAAGTGTATCTCAAGACAAGTGTATCTAAAGACAAGTGTATCTCAAGACAAACTCTTGTTAAAGATTAATATTGCCTAATAACGCACAGATCAAGATAACCTAATGGGATATCAAAATGATATGAATATGTTGTAACAATCTAGAGATAAATCTATTGGTATATCAAAATGATATATGTATCTGTTGTAACAATCCTGTTTTACCCACAGTAACTCCATTTTTGCCAGGGCCTAGTATTCATGGGAATGTCCAATTAAAGAATGTGACTATAAAAACGTTCACATCCAATGTACACATCAAAGACTATGTGACTATAAAAACTATCCTGTCCAAAGTACACATTAAAGAATATGTGACTATAAAAACTATCAGCTTAAGTTATTATTCTAAATTTCAAACATAACATTTTTCTCTCATCAGTAATATTGTTATTTTTCAATTTGATTTATTTATATTTTACTAATATTATAAATTTAATTTGGAAGTTAAATTTTTTTTTTTTAAATCTATTTGTGGAGCCTCAAAAAGTCACAAGGCCCATTCTCTCTTGACCTCTGAAAACCATTTTTATCAAGTGTTAGCCTTTGTACCCAGGTGATGTTAGCCTTTGTACCCAGGTGATGTTAACCCTTGTACCCAAGTGATGTTAGCCTTTGTACCAAGGTGATGTTAACCCTTGTACCCAGGTGATGTTAACCTTTGTACCCAGGTGATGTTAGCCTTTGTACCCAGGTGATGTTAACCCTTGTACCCAAGTGATGTTAGCCTTTGTACCAAGGTGATGTTAACCCTTGTACCCAGGTGATGTTAACCTTTGTATCCTGGTGATGTTAACCTTTGTACCCAGGTGATGTTAGCCCTTGTACCCAGGTGATGTTAAGTTGTGTTCTGAGATTAGTCCAGCTTACCCAAAAAAGTCATCATCTGTAATGGTTGTATTATTTTCTTTGCCAAAGGCATTGTTATTGTTTCTTGGGGGAACTGTCACTTTCTTGTTTGTCTTATTGGGGACAAAGTCAAATTCTGTCAAATCCTCCCAGGTGTCTGAGAGGCCAGTGCCCCATCGCTTGCGTCCACCACTCTGTTTTTTACTGACTGTCATTGCAAATATGTCCTGCATGAAATACAAATAGATTATTAGTTAGACTTCAATGTTTCATTGATACCTCATTTGAATTATGTTGTATGTCATTGCTGTATAATAAACTCACCATTCAGGTGGGACGGTGGAAAACTAACAAGTGAAACACCATGATACTGACACATGGGGCACCATGATACTGACAGATGGGGCACCATACTGTTAAGTATGGGTGAAACACAATATGGAGAGTTGAGACACTATGTCTGAGGCAGGTGGGACACCATAAGATACACGTAGAACACCATGATATGGACAGATTGGATGCCATGATATATAATACTACTCGGTTTAAGAGCCTACCGGACGCCACCATCCCAAAATGTATCTGACTCTATCTGTAGATTCACTTCTAAATTAAATTATGCATTGAGTAACAGAGAGGTCTCTCCTGGAGAGATTTAGTTTTATTGGTGTGAACTTACAGAGTCATTTTGTTTAGGAGCCTGATTCAGTACGGCTGGTAGTCCATCTGTGAAATCATCCGCTACTCTCTGTGGCTGTGGGTGGAAGCTGTAGTCATTGGGCTTTGATTCTGGGTATGTACTTGGGGGTTTGGCCATGGGTTTCTGTGATGGGGATGCCTGGGATGGTAGATTTACAGGGGTTTTGGACACTGGCGGCGGCCGCATAAGATCTGTACCAACTTGGAAAAAACCATACCGCAAAGACTGAAATACAATCAAATTGTGGGTACACAAAATATAGGACAATTTTACACAATTATAATTTAAGATGTTGATGATCCAAGGAATGACAGTGAATAATGTTGCGTAATTGAATTTTTGTAATGTCAAAAGCATAAGTATTTTTAAAGCAGAAAATTACAGTGAATCAGCTACTAAAAATAGATCAAACAGATCTTTAAATTGAGCGTCACATTAATATTCATTGACTCACCTGTGGAGCTGAGGGTCGTTTCTGTGGATTCCACATGAGCATATCTTTAAGCACCTGAAGGCCATCGTTGCTGGCATTTGGTATGACCTGTTTCAGTGGCACTGGTACACACTGACTAAAGCGGAAATTCATAGCAGCAGCAAGCTGGTAACCTTCATTCCAGTCCTCCTGCAATCAAACATGAAATTTTGAAGGACAAGTGGCCAAGTTGGCAAATTCAACAATATATGAAACAAATATTTTTTTTAAACATATTAATTAATTGATTTAATTTTTAAACAAATATATTTCAGAACTTAAAGCAACCTACACACAAATATTGAATACAAATGCTAAAATTACCAAAAAAATTAAAGTTATACATGTATTGTAAATACAATGATCTAACCCTAACACTTGAGAAAGTAGTGTATCACATCACTGGAAGTAGTGTATCATATTACTGGAAGTAGTGTAACCCATTACTGGCCACATCTAAATGACTTACATCAAAAGGTTATGTTCCACACAAGCATTTAATAATCTTCAAAAACTTTAAACTTTTCAATTTAAAATGAAAATAAATTCAACATATTTCTTCAGAAATTATCTTTCTATATTATTCATGTGAGGAATGAAACTATAAAATTGTTTTCCTGTACTATTTCTACCACCACCTGAATGTAATGATGTTTTGAACATTGAAACTATAAAACTGTATACCGGTACTACTTCTACCCCCACCTGAATACTTTCAACATTGACATGAAAGTTTGAAGAGACTCAGGTGTTATGATAATCCTGTGATTAAGTGTACACACAAAAAAATGTTGTAACCTTCTTTGGTGTGCCAAGCACAGAGCATATTTTGAATATCTCATCAATTTCTGAACTGCCGGGGAACAGAGGCCTCAGGGTATACAACTCTGCCATTATGCAACCAACTGCCCACATATCAATGGGAGAGCTGTAGTTTGTAGATCGCAGTAACACCTCAGGTGCTCGATACCTTACAAAAGTAAAATTGTAAAATTATGATACAGAAGAAAAGGATCAAAATAACTTCCAACATATCATCTTTTATTAAGTATTATCTACTAGAAGTAACCGGCCAAAAGAATGGCGGTGGCAAAGTGTGAACTTCCCTTCTACTAAAGTTACTTCACAAAACAGGCATTCAAGTAGGCCACTTTATAAGAATCCCAATTAGTGCTAACTTAGGGGAATTTTATTTTACTAAATATATTTCTAATTTTTTAAAAATAATACATACATATTAAAGAATTTATACATTTACTTATAGGCCTAAACAGATTTATTTTGCCAGATTTGAATGGATGCAATTTCTGAAAAAAAAAAAAAAATCTAGCCGTCAGAGCTTTTTAAGAATCCCCTTTAAAATCATAAATAATATTTTTCACGCTATTGAACAAAGCATTATAGCCATGCGTAATTAGAGAATTATTATTTGTGATAACCTATTCATGGGAAAAATTCAAATTAAATTGGGACCCAGGAGCATATCAAGTTTTTAATTGTTTTGAGCAGTCAAACAACATTGGTAACCACATTAGACTCCAAGAAAACCTTTACATATGGCGCTGAACCTGATATGGGCCAGAGGAGGTACCTACCATCGTGTAGAAACATAGTCTAAGAGAAGGTACCTACCATCATCTAGAACATAGTGTAAGAGAAGGTACCTACCATCGTGTAGAAACATAGTCTGAGAGAAGGTACCTACCATCATCTAGAAACATGGTCTGAGAGAAGGTACCTACCATTGTGTAGAAACATGGTCTGAGAGAAGGTACCTACCATCATCTAGAAACATAGTGTAAGAGAAGGTACCTACCATCGTGCAGAAACATGGTCTGAGAGAAGGTACCTACCATCATCTAGAAACATAGTCGAAGAGAAGGTACCTACCATCATCTAGAAACATAGTCGAAGAGAAGGTACCTACCATCGTGTAGAAACATGGTCTAAGAGAAGGTACCTACCATCATCTAGAAACATAGTGTAAGAGAAGGTACCTACCATCATCTAGAAACATAGTCTAAGAGAAGGTACCTACCATCGTGTAGAAACATGGTCTGAGAGAAGGTACCTACCATCATCTAGAAACATGGTCTGAGAGAAGGTACCTACCATTGTGTAGAAACATGGTCTGAGAGAAAGTACCTACCATCATCTAGAAACATAGTGTAAGAGAAGGTACCTACCATCGTGCAGAAACATGGTCTGAGAGAAGGTACCTACCATCATCTAGAAACATAGTGTAAGAGAAGGTACCTACCATCATCTAGAAACATAGTCGAAGAGAAGGTACCTACCATCGTGTAGAAACATGGTCTAAGAGAAGGTACCTACCATCATCTAGAAACATAGTCTAAGAGAAGGTACCTACCATCGTATAGAAACATAGTGTAAGAGAAGGTACCTACCATCGTGTAGAAACATGGTCTGAGAGAAGGTACCTACCATCGTGTAGAAACATGGTCTGAGAGAAGGTACCTACCATCGTGTAGAAACATAGTCTGTATAGGGAGGCCGTGATCTTATTTCCCTGGCTAACCCAAAGTCTGCAATCTTGACCTGCTCTGTCCCATTACACAGCAAGTTCTCTGGTTTGAGATCTCTATGAAAAAAGCCTGTCAACACACAACATGGCATTCATAAGTTTTATTGCTGCTGAACTGAAAAAAATTTTCAACCTCTACTAGGGGGTCACAAAGCGGGATCCCGACACTCGAAGATACTGGGATATCGGACTATAATGAATGCTTGAAAATACCGGGATTGGATTTATGAAAACGTGGATTTTTTAAATTTCTGGTATTTAATTTTTAAAAACCTTATATCGCTATATTTAGTTTCCATGTCGTAGTTAAAGCAAGACATATCAATAATTTCATACATATCAATAATCAATATCATATCAATAATAATCGTGATGTGCGAATCCCTCACACCACATGTCTCAAGTTCAAAAAGAGATGACCGATGGAAACACCAAGAAAATTTTAAAAAGCAAATTAACAGACTACTTTTAAATTCAAACACCTTAGCAGAAACAGTTTCTGGTATGACAGCTTTAGAAGATCTTCCATTCAGTTTTTTTATTATTTCTAATAATCAAAGATGATTCAAGAAGCAATGTTGCTACAATTTGCCTCCATCCTATAATTCAATTAAAAACATGATGATAAAGTGCGATGAGACTGTTAAGACTCTTTGATTAATAAACTGCGTAAGCTGAAAGAATAAAGAGTTAAGCTGTCTTTGACACTGGATGCATGGAAGAGATTGGAAAATCGTCATTTTGTGAACGTAAACATTAATAGCCCTATGTGAACCAATGAATTTGTCAATCTTGGCCTAGTAAGAGTGATTGGCAGCATGCCAGCAAGAAAATGTTTACAATTGTTGGAAAAAAAATACCAAAAAATACGATTCTTCAGAAATATGTAACAGAGGGAATTGGTCGTGAGCTTAATTTGATTTTAGATTGCAGCACAAGGTGGATTAGTTTAGCAGACATGTTGGGAAGGATAGTAACCCTATGGTGTACTTTGATTCGTCAAATGACTATATGGATGCATTTCTACGAGACAATTAGAAATTGAAATACAAAAGAAACTTCAGGTTTTGGATAATACTTCCAGACCAACTGATTGGAGACATTGATACATTTGTAAAAATAGAGAAGGCTCTATTTGACAATGGCAGTTCAAGAGAAAAAATATCTAGAAATTGCATTTGAAGGGTGGAGTCTGAGCGGATGTTCTCGTCATCAGATTACTTTTGCAACCATTTGTGGTCAAAAAATAAAGCAATCAAAGATTAGACAAGTTGTCATTTTTACTATCTAATTATTTAAATTTGACCAAAGGTTAAAACAACACAAATTATTTTAATATTTAATTAATAAAACTATTTAAATTAAAAAGTTTAGAATATTATTTTTGTTCCGTTCCATTAAAGGCTGAAGTTAGACATTCGTGTTACTCTTAAAAACTTATTAAAAATCAAAATGGGATTTTTTTATGAATGTTTTTATTTCGTTGATAAATTGTCATCTCGAAGCCCGACAAAAAATTCTCTAAAAATTGAAAACATCGAAATATCGAGATACCTGTATTCGTATACTTCAATATTGAAAATACTGGTTTTGGTAAAAGTGACCGGTATTGCGACCCCTAACCTGTACCTATTATTATATTGTTAAAAAATTCCATGATGAAGAATTCTAAATACAGTAATACATTTACATATAATCAGTCCATATTTGCAAAGTTAACTCTACTGAGTGATTAGTATGTTTATTTCTTTGTACAAACTTACCATGCTTATGCATGAAAGACAAGCCTTGAAGTACCTGGTATGTGATATTTCTTACAACAGATTCTGGTAAAAGTTTGTCTCTGTGAAAAGAAACCAGACAAATCTGCTCAGAAATACAAAATTTGACCAAAGTTTTATTAAAATGTTTGATCTTATGATCTTATCACAGATTTAGATAAAACTGCAAAACATTTCAACCCCTTTCAACCAAACACCTACCTGTCTTTCATCATTTGGTAAAGATTTTCTTTCATGAACTCAAACACAAAGTACAGCATGTCATTTTCTCTAACAACCTCCTTCAGCTTAACAATATTTGGATGATTCAATTTGCGCAGCGACTGGGGATGGAATCACAATTTAGTTACATAACAATTTTTTTTTGACAACAACCAAAAGGCTTAACGGCAATGACGGCTTCACATTCTCTTTTATTTTGTTGGGGATTATTTTTTTTCTGTGAGTATCACATAATTAAAATTGAAACACTATTTCAATAATTTTATATAAAAAAAACGTGTTTTTTTTTTAATTTAAAAATGAATGTTTGGCTTAATTTTTTAACACACATAATGCATAACAATGTGTGTTAAAAAATTAAGCCAAACATTCATTATTTTTTTTTTTAAACATCTTTTTTCATATAAAGTTATTTTAATAAAAAGAATAAAAGAATACAAAGAAATATGGTTTAAGTTTCAAGTATAAAAATATATATTATTGTTTTTAGAATCAATGACTGATTCAAGATATTTTACATTGTTACTTTACAATAGAAGATCGCTTGTTAAATAAATCAATAAAATATCAGTTGATCTGCTATCACTTTGATCTATCTAGCTACTGCCTGCTAACAATTAGGCTTAATGTCTAGAAAATTATAAGTTAATTAGGGGCCATCCATAAATGATGGCAAGCGCCTAGGGGGGTCAGATTTTTGTAACGATGTGTGACGAAAAAGCAATGTGATATCACATGAAAGACGGAATATTAATGTAAAGAATTGCACTTAATAACCCTAAATTACCGACATTTTTTACTTTATTCTTTTATACAACAATTATAATTATTTTATTTTTAAACTGTTATCACTGAGAGAATCAGTACAGGTATGCGAAGTCCGAAAAATGGCCTCGATTAAATTACAGGATGCCAAGGAGGAGGAGAATCGGGATGTAGTTGCAATGACAGTCCTGAGAATATATGGCTAAATCTGGACATGGGAATCATAGAATTAGAGCTACAGCATGAAATGGGATGGAATGAAAGAAAAAGGTTCATGGGTGGGGGTAGGGGGTGTCTTATTAAAGGCTCTAGGGCATGGATTCTTAACCTTTTTTGAAGTGTTGCAGGCCCACTCCATTTTAAACATCCCCCCCCCCACCAACCCTATAAATTATATTGTAATAAAATTAAAAACAATTAAATAATTTAGTTATCATAGTTTTATTTCTTTAATTAATTTTTTATAAACAACAGAAAAAATTACCAATACAAGCAATGCACCTATAAAATTCACCAGAAAAATATTTACTGCTGCTAATCAAATTAATAAAAACTTTTTTTTTTTTCTTTTCAAAGAGCAGCTGCAACTAGCAATGGTAGCAAATACAATCGGTGGCGTATCTAAGGCTGGTGTCACCCGGTCTGGTAAGCTTGTGGTGTCCCCCCCCCACTCGACTTCCATGATGTAATTCTTCTTGTTAAACTTATACCACAGTAAAACAAATACAAGAACAAAAACAAAGTAATTGAAGGTAAATGTATTTAAGAACTGTGACACGTACTTAGATTCACCCATTGTTATCAAAAGATAGCTTTATTTCTCAGAATTTAGATAAATATAGCTTCCTGTCACTTTCAAAAGTTACCGTACACTTCATTCGGCATTGAAACATGGTCAAAACGGTGTGTTTCTGACCTAATAAATAAGGTAACATAATTGCTGACGCACCAACCTTGAAATTTTAATAAAACTCACATTTTGATTGGCTACATGGGTGGAATATGTATGTGTCTTTTGTTATCCTTTTATGAAATTCGGTCAGACAGAGCAGTTTGTGCTCTGTAAATACGCAATTTTTCAATTTGGTGTCACCCCCTGAGATGGTGTCACCCGGTGCGGTCTGCACCCCCTAGCTACCCCACTGAATACAATTTTCTGGTCTTCCACACCTGATGGCTGTGGAGGTACTTTTACCCCTGGTTAAGATCAACTGATCTAGTGAGATGTTTCTGACACAGGTGCAGTAATTTGATATCCACAGATTTCTTAAGGGTTTGTAAAGGACAGTGGTGAACACAGACTTTTTAGAGGGGGGGAGGGGGATGCAGAGATTTGAGACATTTTATTTGAGAGAGGGGGAGGGGGGTGCGAAACAAAGTATGGGAGAGCGGGGGGTTCAGAAATTTGCAAAATTTGAGTGACTTTTATGTCAATTTATGGATGGCCCCTTACTGTTTCCTTTTAATAGTAAAAAATTTCAGCTTTAGTGGTTTCAGTGCAGAATTATTATAGAGTCTTCACTATCTTGGAACTTTCATGATAGGTTAAAGTAAATATTTTGAAAATATGGCAAAGGCATTAAGTCTCAGTATAATGGATGAAGTCTACAAACAATGGAAGGGATGAAAAGGAGATATGGATGGGGCTTTAAAGAATTTATTGAAAAGGTAAAATCACTTCAAATAATTACCCTTTGTTACCACCCACACATGCAAAATAAATTCAGAATTATATTGGTTTTATATCATCAAACTGTTAATTCATTCTCACCTTGACCTCTCTGAGGTTTAAGCACTCATCCCAAGAGTAGTATTTCTTTTTCATCCTGCAAGAGTGTACAAAATATTTCAGAAGTATAGGCCTATCTAGTACATAATATTTAAGTAGTCTGCATTGACAAATCATAACAAATTCAATATTTAAAATAATGAATTTCAAGATTGTTCATGCTAATCTTTTTTTAAGTGTTGTATTTGTTTGTTAGGGATGCGAAGAATGATGTAAAAATATTTAATAAGCATTTTTTAACTAATGATAAACGCTTAATTAGCATTTAGTCTAGTTTTTTTTTTATTATGAACAGTATTCACTGATTAATTTTTAAAAATGTGTTTCACTCCTAACAGACATATGTAAAATTGCCATTTAAAACCTTTTTTTTTAAAAGTAATAAGTGTTATATTTTATTAAATGTGTTTATACTTTACCAGAATGTATCAATAAATACACTATAAATTATCCCAAAATGCAAGTTTTAAGTATATTTCTTAAGATAACTAAACAGTTGGAGATTATCCCATCAAAACAAGTATATAAATATGCCAGTTTAACCTATTTAACTTAAAAAAAACAATATTTTTTTTACAAAATTCCTTAAAAATCATCTTATTTTTCAACTATCAATCAAATATTTGTTGATTAAATGGTTTATTCTTTATATTTTCTTTCAGGTTCTCAAGAAATTTACAAAACTTATATGGCAGCCTTATAAGAAATTAAGAAAGTGCCTGTTCAAATTTGTAAAAAGAATAAATTGTACTCTATATCAACAAATGCAGGCTGTGTAGACACTCCATGAGATTCCCTGCCATAATCTATTGATCCATTCCAGTTAAAATTCCTGCATTGACTGGCACCACTGAGCCATAGATTAACATTGCTGATAACAATGCTAAACCCTGCCTACTCAATAGAGGGGAAATGTTTGTGGAGGGAACTGTTTGATTGTCGCTATTGATTCCCATGTGTATTCTTTTACTTCTTTGATCTAGAACAAATAATCAATAACTTTCTCTAAATGGTGTTGGCCACCGCTATTTCAACTTTTCATAATTGAAAATTTGATAATGAGAATTCAAATTGCAGACTGCTATGTAAATCAATGGTATAATTCAACAATTTCAACCTTTCTTTTATAATACAATCTTGAAAGCATATATAACTGCCTTCCTTTTGCATTTGATTAATTTTAGTTTGTGATAAGAAGTATGCTTAATATTTAAAGGAAAATGACCTTGATTTATAAGACTATAGAGTAGATAAGGAAGTGATGCTACAAATCGAATAAGATAATGTTTTTATAAAAGAAACAAGACATAAAACTAAGCAATTTATCAAAATCATTTTTCAATTAAAATAATTAATTAATTGATACAGAACTTAGTGAATTAAAGCTTTATTTTAATAAGACTTAATTATTTTTTTGAGTGTTAAGTAAATGAAAAGGTATACCTAAAGCAATGGTAAAAGGGGGGAGAGTCTGCAATCAGGTTAGGTAAAAGGAAATGAGCGAAACAAAAAAAAAAGGATGCAACAAAACAACGAACATGTAAGTAAAAAGCCTTCATCAGCGTACAAACAACAGTAAAAAATAAATTTAAATAACATTAAGCTGCAATGTAGTATCAGAGAGGACATCGGAAGGATGGGGCAGAACATAAGTAGGTGAGAGATTAAATACAGGCCAAGTGGGGTGGAAGTGAGGAAAAAAACATACTGATCCAGTCCTATGGAACCTTGACACCACTGGCATGTTCTCATTCACTCTTTAAACCTTTTCTCCACCTTCTCCTCATTAAGGCCAATCGCAGTAGACTTCTGTCCCAATTTGCTTGTATTAAATCTCTCACCTATTTATGTTCTGTCACTTTCCTCTTGCTGTCCTCTCAGGTACTACATTGAACCTCAGAATTATTTTAATTTTATTTTTACAATTGTTTGTATGCTGATGAAGGCTTCTTGCTGACAAGTTTTTTAATTGTTGTGTCCTTTTTTTTCAGGCTTACCCAAAAAAACACTGTTTCATAATTTACACATTTATATGTTATTTCTTTTCATAAATATAATCTTTATGGACAGATAATAAACAATAATTTATGAAAAATTGTTGCCTACAGGCTTAAGTATGATATTGTTATAGTATTATTTTTGCTATCTTGTATTTTTTTTAAGAGCTTAACAGGGACGGACTGCAGAAGACAAAGAAAGCTGCACTAGAGGACAAGTTTGGGCATCAAAGAAACTTTAAAATGCCCTAATATAGGAAGCCTATGTTATCAAAATTAAGTGTTTTGTAGTTTCAAGATCTAAAAATGTATGTGATTATTTGATTACTTATCAGCAGGGTAAAGTATCGGGTGTTGTACTGAAATCCTAAAAACTTTTTAATGATAAACTTTCAGCATAAAATAATGAAACTCATTCAGTCCATTAGCACATGATGATAATTTCTTGTATAGCGCTTGTGTCCATGCTATTCTAGCATACTCAAAGCGCTCTGATGTCGTTAACTTTATTTGAAGAAAAATGTCTTTAAATGTCTCTTAAATGATTCTTTATCGTTTTTAAATTCCTTCATCCCATGACATCTTATGATGACATAATTTGTGTGGCTTTTTTCATATTGTGGATTTTGTTTTCTATATTGTTTTCTTAATTTCAGCTAATAAAATCAAAGTTTCACTTACTTTTTGATGGCCACCTTTTCATTGGTTTCCACGGTTGTAGCCAGTAAAACACTCCCATAAGTCCCATCCCCAAGCTGCTTGGAAATTTGGTAGCGATTCATTTTCAGGCTTCCCAAAACAGTTTGTTGAAATTTACACGTCCAGAAAAATTGCTTACTATCACAGAGTTACTTAGTACGGTGCAATACAGTAAACTCAAGGGGACAAAATTATATAGTTTCACAAATAAATCTCATTTCCAAACCCTGTTAATCTTGAATAAATTTGATGTTTCTCTTTGGAATGACTGTCTCATTAAACATGGTGAAAAATTATGTGTCCAGTAAAACTTCATCATCCTATGTTCCCAGGACTGAAAACAAAATATAACCAATCTGTTACATTTGACATCCGTTTTTTAGGATATATAAACGGAGCCGAAACAATTGAAAGTACAGCAGAATTATGACTGTGTGGAGTTTTTGTCCTTTAATGATTTTCTAATTAGGGTTCCTGCGATGAAAAAAAAAAGATGTTGAAAATTTCAAGATAATATGGAAATATAACTGGTATGAGTAATTCATTAAATATCTTTTATAAATCATGTCAAGTAAGGATTTAAAGCCACTTTGACAAAACAAGAATAGTATTTAAATTGTAAATTTATCAAATTGAATTTCATTTATTGCATTATATATTTAATGTAATAATTTATTGTTAATGAATTATTATGAAATTTCTGACACATTCATGGGTTAATACTAAATAATTCACAAAGTTATGTACAATAATACACTCAGCCATTAAAGGAAACAAGAATTTATAATGGTAAGTTGTAACAATCAACTAGACTCTAGACAACAATACTAAATCTCAACTCAGGATTCTATCATTATCTAGTATCTGATGTAGCCAATGTGTGATTGTGACAGTCAATCGCATGTATGCTTTTAAAAATGAAAGTTTACAAGTTTAAAAGCGTCCCTATGCCAACTAATATAGACAAAATAAAATAAAGGACAGTAATATTGTATTTGTAAATTGTATATTAAAGTCATTAACCACTGATTGTATATTAGTAGTATTAGTGTTTTTAATTATTAATTTTTTAATCTCTTTCTCTGCAGTGTCTATAACACACATTTATGGTATGAAGAACAAAAAGTAAGCATATTCCAAATGTTGACATTTCATTCAGAAGAACCCCCTCAGCCTCATTACATCATCAATGATGAAAGAGCTCTCAGTATAGATCAAAAATGTAGTAAGAAAAAATTACAAATGATTGCTGGAAGACTGGAGGTTAATTTTCTTTTGTACTCTTAAAATTTGTTAAATAGTTTCTAAGTAAGTTGTTGATTTGGTACAGAAATACAGTATTTCACAGTATTCAATAATAAAAAACATATTTTCCCTTTATTTTAGTAAAAGTCTAAATTATTCAAATTCAAATAAATAAATGATTAAGGACTCATATTTAAAATAGTGAATGAAAAAAAACTAAATTGACTACTAACAATATTTTTAAAATTAAATAATAATTAAATTAAAAACTAAATAATAAATTATTAAAACAGTAAATAGTACATAATATAACATGTCAAAATTAAATAAATAGCCAAAATTTTTAAAAATAGTTTCAGGTTTCGAGTATCCAGAATGCTTCTGAATGAAGAATTTAAAAATATTTTTAAAATTGTAATTCGAAATGGAATTTTCATCTGCTAAATTCTACAAAAGGATAGAATTACCACATAAAACGATACTTTTATACGAAATGACAGAAGAAAGTAACTTCAACTATCACATTCCATTCACCAATGTTGGACGCCATTTTTCAGTTGCTATATTGTGTTATTGTTTGTCACGTGACAAATTATAGCAACGTATTAGGTTAGTTGAATTTACCGGAGAGCTTCATTCAAAGGGCAGTATTCCAAAATGTGAAAATTATGCATTGCGCCCAAAACCTACGTTAATTTTAAAATGTTTTTTGGGGGAAACTACTAGCACATTCTCTCCATTTATTAATTGTAAATATATACATTTTACACTTATAATTACAATGATTTAAAATGTAATAAAATTAATAGGCTACATTTTCATTTTAAAGGAAAAATTAATAGACTACATTTTCATTGATTTTAAAGGAAAAATTAATAGACTACATTTTCATTTTAAAGGAAAGTCAAATTATTATAAAATTTAAAAAGTTGCATGACTAAAATAAAAATTAAAAATAGTAGGCGAACAAGTTTAGCCGAAATTGTGTTGATAATGTATATGCATTTTTAGCATGGAATAGCCCTATCGTAAGGTTCTGGTAAGGTACGTTGCTGAATCCATGTACTGCATATGTGCATTTATGACAAATATGTCTTGAGAAGACGATTAAAGTGAATTTATAAGACTAGACACAAACAATAAATTGGTGGGGTTTTTTTTTGCAACGTTGCCAACATACATACTTTAGAGTGATTTCAGTGTTGGGTAGGGTAGGGTAAGTGTTGTAATTAAAAATAATTTCTGACTACCAATAATTTTTGCACTACATCAATCTATCACCAATCTGTAGCCAGTAGCTGCTTAGAACAGTGGTTCTCAACCTTTGTAATGCCGCGACCCTTTAATAGAGTTCCTCATGGTGTGGCGACCCCCAGCCACAAAATTATTTTCATTGCTACTTCATAAATGTAGAGTATATGTGTTTTCAGATGGTCTGAGGCGACGCCTTGGAAAGGGTCGTCCGACCCCCAAAGGGGTCGCGACTCACAGGTTGAGAACCGCTGGTTTAGAAGCTAATGGTAGTGGAGTACCAATAGCTCTCCAGAAGCTATTGGTAGTTTATTACAAATAGCTCCCTAGAAGCTATTGGTAGTTTACTACCAATAGTCAATAGCCACAGCTTTAAATAATGTCAGTAAAGATTAATGCAAAGTTATTTGCGGCTTAGCTAAACAGTAAAAATAAACTCAGTATGACTAATGCCTCTGATGTACGATAGTCTCAAAGTCAAAGGGATCTTAAAATGGAGAATGACACTCACAATGAATCAGAGGAGAAACATCAGTAACGTATGACATATAGTATGAGTGTGACTAATCTAGTAAGTAATAGTATTATGAGTGTGACTAGTCTAGTTTTATAAAAGTGTGACTAGTCAGTATTATGAGTATGAGTGTGACTAGTCTAGTATAATGAGTGTGACTAGTCTAGTATTATGAGTGTGACTTGTCTAGTATTATTAGTGTGACTAGTGTAGTAGTAAAGTATGAGTGTGACTAGTATATTATGAGTGTGACTAGTATATTATGAGTGTGACTAGTATATTATGAGTGTGACTAATCTAGTAGTATGAGTGTGACTAGTCTATAATTATACTATAATGAGTGTGACTACTCTAGGAGGGTTACCCTAGTCTAGTATGAGTGTGACTAGTCTAGTATGAGTGTGACTAGACTAGGGTAAATTCAGAGAAAGCGACCCGCGTTTATTTCCATGCGCGGACTTTTACTTTTATGTCTTAAATCAATCCCTATGCCTAAGGGAAGCGTTATTCACACAGCTCTGTGAATAACGTTTAGCGTTATCGGCAGACCGAAATCTGTGAATAACGGCGAGCGTTATTCACACAGCTCTGTGAATAATGTTTAGCGTTATCGGCAGACCGAAATCTGCGAATAATCATATAATGCATTAGATCTAGACTGGTGAAAAATTATTGTTGGATGTAGGCTATTAATATTGGGGTTGAAATGGCTAGAAAGACTTTGCAATTGTATGCTAGTAATTAGTTTTTGTAGTGTTGCGTTTGTTTTAAATGTGGTAAATTATAGATTTGTATTTTGTTGACATTGTACCGCGCCTCGAGCCTTTGGGGATGAAGCGTGTTTTTGAAATGAACTTCATTATTATTATTATTATTAATATTACTATTAGTATACTGAACCGTCATGAGTTATTATCGAATTTTTTTCACTATCAATTATAAAAAAAGGGCAAATTTATTACTAATATTAGTATGGTAATATCTGTATACCGGTAGTATAATAGTAATAGCCTATTACTATACTAAATATTATGCAGTATAAGGTATATACACAATTGTAGTATAAGTAATATACTTAGTTACTTAGCTTAATCAGTATACGCATACATGGGTGCCCGCAGAAAACTTTCGGGGGGGGATCGATTAACTTCCTGGGGTGGGGGGCAAAATTTTTTAGTTTGTTTTAATATAGTCTTAATTTACTGTAGCGCATTTGTATGGTGAACGAACGGACAGGACATCAGCTTAGTTACTTTCTCTTTATTTTATCTTTACTTTAATACATTTTTTGTCTAAATTTTTCCAATCAATCTAAGGGGGGGGGGGGTAAGTGCCCCCCACTTGCCCCTAACTGCGGGCGCCCATGCACGCATACAAATTTATTATTGAGTGATAATTAGTGGGTCTATAATGCAGAGTGTTATTGTTAGACAGAAATGATCCCATAAGTACGCACATTTCTAGATCACATTCCAAGCCGGGGTGGGTGTGTAGTTTTAAGTAGTGTAGGAGATTTGGATCTTTAAAGAATCTTTAATGAGTATGGCACAAGCACATTTCATAACCGAAGCTATGCACAAATTAAATTTAAAAAATTTAATTGGCCTAACTATAGCCTATATATTGGATATAGGACAATTAATTGTGCCTACATCTGCTCTGTTAGGGGCCAACATAGGGTCTATTCGACCTATAGAGTGTTACTAATAGATCCAGTCAAACCTCCTACTCCTAGACATAACTAATTTTCTGGTATTTCATATTAAATATTATACCAGTAATAAAAATTGTACCCGTACCGGTATTCTTCGTGTAGACTCACTTTCACCCATTGTAGAGAGGTCTTAAAATGATGTCAAAGCTTGATAGGGTATCGTTTAGTGTTTTAAAAGCCCTATGATATATCACCTAGTCCAGAATTGTTCTGTCAGGAATAGCCCATGCAGAGAGGT